GTCCCACTCGTCCCAGTAGGCCTGCTCGCGCTCCGTGTTCATTCCCAGGTCCTGCTCGATGTGCTTCTTGACGGGGATCCAGGCGTCGTGGATGTTGACGCTGGGGCTGAAGATGTCTCAAAGACGCCACGATACTGCTCGAGAATCATGCTGATCAGAGACACGGTCTTGCCCGATTTTGACGGCCCGAGGAAGATGCCGGTGCCCTCTCGGTCCTTGCGGGGATGTACGACGACACTGTGCGCAACATCGACATCGACCGTGTGGGCTACCTGCGCCACAGCTTCATCGCGGGCTTCCCGACCGAGCGCGTGCCCAAGATGCCCCTGAGCGGCGTCAGCACCCGTTCGGGCGACCAGGCTCGGTTCACCTTCAAGGGACTCGACGGTGCGATGACGGAGCTCTCTTCTTGGTGCTTCCGCGCTGCTGTCAGGGTGTGTTCTGCAGAGACCTGCCCCCGAGCGCCAGACCGTGTGTGACCGTATGATCCGTATGATTCGTATGATTCGCATGATTTGTATGATTCGTCCACATAGAGCTATCTCCCAAGAGTGACACTTTTGAGCGACGCCTGATCAACGCTCTGAGCCACACTTTTTCTGATCGACACTTCAGAGCAACACTTCTGAGCGACACTTTTCTGATCGACTTTGCAACACTTCTGAGCGACGCTTTTTCTGATCGACTTTTCTGAGCAACACTTCTGGTCGACGCTTCTGATCGAGACTTCTGAGCAACACTTTGAGCAACACTGCTGAACCACACTTCTGATTGACACTGAAGAGCAACACTTCTGATACAAATTTCTCATCGACAGTTCTGAGCAACGCTTTTGACCAACACTTCTGAGCCACACTGCTCGTCGACACTTCTCAACGACACTTCTGGAGCAACACTGCTGAATTGACACTTCTGAGCGACACTTCTGAGCAACACTTCCGACCCACGCTTCTCCTGGACACTTCTGAGCGACACTTTTGAGCGACACCTAAGCAACACTTCTGAACCATACTTTTTGTGATCGACGCTTCTGAGCAACACTTCTGATCGACACTTTTTCTGATCGACTTTTCTGAGCAACACTTCTGATTAACACCTCTGAGCGACACTTTTGAGCGACACTTGACCAACACTTCTGAACCACACTTTTCTGATCGACGCTTCCGACACTTTTTTTGCTCATTTTTTCTGAGCAACACTTCTGGTTGACACTTCTGAGCGACACTTTTGAGCGACGCCTGATCAACACTTCTGAACCACACTTTTTCTGATCGACACTTCTGAGCAACACTTCTGAGCGACACTTGTTCTGCTCGACTTTTCTGAGCAACGCTTCTGATCAACACTGTTGAGCAACGATTTTGCTCCGCACGTCTGATTGACACTTCTGATCGAGAAACACTGCTGAACCACACTTCTGACTGACACTGATGAGCAAGACTTCAGATCCACACTTCTCATCGACAGTTCTGAGCAACACTTCTGACCAACACGTCTGACCCCACACAGCCCATCGACACGAACGAAAACACTGCTGAGTTGACACTTCTGAGCGACATTTCTGAGCAACACTTCTGATCGACACTTCTGAGTGAGCAACACTTCTGACCCACACTTCTGATGGACACTTCTGAGCGACACTTGAGCGACACCTAAGCAACACTTCTGAACCATACTTTTTCTGATCGACGCTTCTGAGAAACACTTCTGATCGACACTTTTTCTGATCGACTTTTCTGAGCAACACTTCTGATTGACACTTCTGATCAACACTTCTGAGCAACGCTTATTTTGATCCGAACTTCCGATTGACACTTCTGAGCGACAGTTTGAGCAGCACTGCTGAACCACCCTTCTGATTGACACCTTCTGATCCAAATTTCTCGTCGACAGTTCTGAGCAACACTTCTGACCAACACTTCTGATCCACACTGCTCAGCGACACTTCTGAACGACACTTCTGAGCAACACTGCTGCATTGACACTCTTGAGCGACACTTCTGAGCAACACTTGTGATCGACACTTGTGACCGACACTTTTGAGGAACCCTTCTCATTCTGAGCGAACTTTTTGAGCGACGCCTGATCAACGTACTGTTCCGAACCACACCTTTCCTGATCGACTTTTCGGAGAAGCACTTCTGATCGACACTTTTTCTGATCGACTTTTCTCAGCAACACTTCTGATTGACACTTCTGAGCGACACTTTTGCGCGACACCTGACCAACACTTCTGTTTCTGATCAACGCTTCTGAGCAACACTTCTGCGCGACACTTTTTCTGATCGGTTTTTTTTCTGAGCAACACTTCTGATCGACACTTCTGATCGACACTTCTGAGCAACACCTATTTAATCCGAACTTCTGATTGACACATCAGCGACAGTTTGAGCAACACTGCTGAACCGCACTTATGATTGACACCTTCTGATCCAAATTTCTCATCGACAGTTCTGAGCAACACTTCTGACCAACACTTCTGATCCGCACTGCAACGACACTTCTGACACTTCTGAGCAACACTTCTGATTGACACTTGTGACCGACACTTGTGAGGAACCCTTCTCATCAACACTTCTGAGCAACAATTGACACTTCTGAGCGAACTTTTTGAGCGACACCTGAGCAACGTACCGTTCTGAACCACACTTTTTTTGATCGACTTTTCTGAGCAACACTTCTGATCGACGCTATTTCTGATCGACTTTTCTGAGCAACACTTCTGATTGACACTTTTTCTGATCGACTTTTCTGAGCAACACTTCTGAGCGACGCTTAAGAAGTTTTTTTATCGACGTTTCTGAGCAACACTTCTGATTGACACTTCTGAGCGACACTTTTGAGCGACGCCTGATCAGCACTTCTGAACCACACTTCTTCTGATCGACACTTCTGAGCAACACTTCTGAGCGACACTTTTTCTGATCAACCTTTCTGACCAAAACTCCTGATCGACACTTCTGATCGACAGTTTGAGCGACACTGCTGAACCACACTTCTCATTGACACTGATGAGCAACACTTGCGACCCACACTTCTCATCGACAGTTCTGAGCAAAACTTCTGAACAACACTTCTGGTCCGCACTGCTCATCGACACTTCTGAACGACACTTCTGAGCAACACTGCAGAGTCTGAGCAACACTTCAATTCGACACTTTTCAGTGAGCAACACTTCTGACCCACACTTCTGATTGACACTTCTGAGCGCCATTTTGAGCGACACCTGATCGTCTGAACTACACTTTTCTGATCAACACTTCTGAGCAACACTTCTGAGCGACACTTTTTCTGATCCACTTTTCTGAGCAACACTTCTGATCGACGCTTTTGATTGACACTTCTGAGCAACACTTTTGGTCCGCACTTCTGATCGACAGTTTGAGCAACATTGCTGAGCCACACTTGTGATTGACACTGATGAGCAACACTTCTGGTCCACATTTCTCATCGACAGTTCTGAGCAACACTTCTGAGCAACACTTCTGACCAACACGTCTGATTCACACTGCTCCTCGACACTTCTGAGCAACACTTCTGAGCAGCACTTCTGTTCGACACTTCTGATCGACACTTCAACACTTCTGTCGACACTTCCGATGAGCGACACTTTTGATCGCCGCTTCTGAACGACACTTCTAATCGACGCTTCTGAACGGCACTTCTAACGGACACTTGTGATCGGCGCTACGACACTTCTGTCTCCAAATGCGCACCTTTTGGAGTGTGTCGTAAACGATTCAAAGTCGTGGCAGGTCCAGCACTTTGGATGATTTTGAGTGTGTGGCAAGGTTACTGCGTTTGGTTGAATTTCGTGGCAGGCGTTTGTGCTCACGGTGAAAACAAATGATGGTAGCGGAGCGCTGTCGGTCCACAAGTGATTGACACCTCACGGGCATTTCTTTTCTTTAAGAAGCAGGCAAGCCCTTTTTCACCTGCGCCCGTGCCAGCCATAGCTTTTTTCCACTGACTGCTTGACTTGTGCAATTTCCAGCTGCAGGCCTCGAAGGCCACAAATTTCAGCATCTTGCTACTGTTGGAATATTTCACTTTGCGCTGTTTGAAGGCTTTGTGGCTTTGAGAACATTTGGTTCTGTCGATCTTGGAGAGTGCTCAGCAACTTACAGCAGTGCGAAGCAGCAGGAGCCTGACCCGTTCAACCAAAGTTTTGAGCTTTGATCTGCCACTTCACGCATTCACAGTGAATTTGGCGTTTCAAAAGGAAATTATGCAGGACTGTTGGAAGCAATGACACTTGCCCCAGAACTTGGCAATGGCTCATCACTGTGCCCATTACTTGTCGATTTGCTTGGAGATTGGGTGTGGCTGGCAGGTGGCAGGTCCGCCTGCACTCTCAGCCTGTCGTCGTCCGCCACTGGCTGGCGTGTCTTCTGGAGGAGCCGTGCTGTTGTCCTGGAGCAGCCTCGGAACTTCTTGGTTTGCCAGGTGCGGCCATGGTTGTACCAGCATGCGCAGTGCTCTGATGAAGCGTTGTCTTCGATTACAATTTGATTCTTAGATGGTCTAGCCCGCTTGTTGCATGCTGAAAACTTAAATTGTTTTAAGGGACAGAGGAAGTACCATCCTTCAGATCCAAGCGGGTCTGACTTTGGCTAAGGCTCGTCCAACCCAAGAAGCCTTGCACCTCGCCTGCGCCAGAACATCCTTGCGCCTGGTCCGACATTTGTTTCATTCCTTCCTTCCACTCTGTGCGTGCTTATCTCAAAGCAAATGCTGTCAAGTTTCTTTCTTTGCCCAGACGTCTTGCCTGGCATAATGATTCATTTGATCTTTTGGGTCAAGGCAATTGGTTGCACAAAAACTTGGAGCGGCCAGAAAGTGCCGGTTCCCATTTTAGCGATGCAAACACTGCGGATTTGCTCCTTTGCCATCATGCGAACTCTGCCTGAATTTTGCTTGTGGAGTTTGGTGCAAGGATCCAGCAGTTTTGGTCCATTCAATATTTTTGTTGGGGAATTGCTCGTGGCTTTTCCCGTGTCAGCGGCTCGTGTCTGGGGACGGTGGCGTCGCGGCGTCCGACCCGGAGAAGCCGTGCGCAGCTCGTCCGCGTTGGGCCTGGTTCCTCCATTTCCAATTTCAATGGAACCATCACTCAGTGCTGTCACCCCTGTTAAAGTGAGCTTTCTGAGAGGTTTCCTTTCAACTTGGCGATTGCGGGCATGTTGATGTCAGTTTAGGTGCGGATTCCTTGGCCAAGCCTGCATTTGAAGAACCCAAGTGAAAGGGTGTTCCTGCAAATAACGCAATCTTTGGTTTGGAAACTTGCCGCTCAAAATTCCAGGGAACTTGCCCTGTGAACAAAAACTCACCCATGGTAATCCTAGTTTCCCAGTGTGTGACTAGCAGATGTTGCCGAGCCAATGTCAAATGAAACCGTTAAGACTGGAATTGCATGTGGCATTATTGGGCAACAAATTGGTTTCAACAACCAGACTCTGGCGAGGAGGTTGCTTAAGCAGGTGTCCGAACATGTGAGGTTGGCACTACCACCTCTTTGGGATTTTATGCAGGGGCTTGCTCGGCGTTTTGATTGCTCGCGAGAAGGCGTGTCAGGTAGACTGCCACACGCATCTCTTTCCGCAAAAACGCTTCACTATTGAAGTTCACACCGGACGCCGAGAGTGATCGTTTTCGGCCAGCCCAGGATGTCGCTCAGCCGGCCGAGTTGTGCCGGCTATGACTATGGCATTCTGCTGACGACGATGTCGCAGAATAAGCAGGCGGGTGCGATTGGCACCACTTGGTTTATGTTCTTGAACACTCCTGGCTGGGGTGTCTTGTCTTCAAGCCATCATTCTAGGCTGACTTGGTTTGGCTGGTGGAAAAAGGGATGCGTCCTGGGCCTGACCTTATCATATTTTTTTTCACTTTGCACATGTTGGCTGAGCTTACCAACATTCCCCGGAAAAAGGGAATCGCCGATTGCTTCTCTCACATTCGAGGCGCCCAAATGGAGCTTTGCGGGGCGACAGCACGGGGGCAGCAGGCGCACCGTGATGAGGGTTTGTGTACCAAATGCTCTTTCTAAACGGAAGTCAAAAGGAATACACGGAACAGAGTGGGACATGGGGCTCGGCTCAGGCCCTCGTTTTTTGTTTGGGGGGGATTTCAGAAGATCTCCACCGGTTTTTCTATTCTTCAGGGTTCACCGTGTTTCTTCGGCTCCGGCTTTGGTTTTCCCAACATTTACAGCCAAAAGGGATACCGAGCCTCAGACGCCGCATGTCCGGCATCTGGCTTTCTCCCTCTTCCTATCCATGATTTGGACCGATGGATCCAGCTTTGTCCAGAGTGCCTCCTGGAATTCCTAGGGATGCCCCAAGAGGACCGAAACTTTGCTGCGATAGCTAGGGAATGAGCGAGTCCGGGCCGGTTTTGGATTCCCTTCAAGGAAACCTTTCTGAGATGGTTTATAGGGGCCTATCCAACCAGCAAGTAAACACATTTTCGGGGTTGTGCTATTTGGTTTTATTTCTGACCAGAGTTGTTCATTGGTGCCTGTGGTGGTTCTACTATTGTTTCTAGTGGGAGCAGTCCCTGTTTTTGGAGTCCGTGTACCATGTGGTAGAACCAACAATTCAATTGGTTTTGGACGCTCAAATGAGGAGTTTGGTGTGTACGGTCGAGGGGATTCACGCTACCCACTGTCGAAAGGGATCGCGCCAGCACGCTTCCCAAGTGTTGGAAGAATTCTACGGGAGAAACGAATGTGTACTGCTGCAACAGGCTCCTTACCACAAGCCCTGGGACATGTTCTCTTTCAGCACAGTGCCGTCGATTCTTGTGCATACAAACTACAACTCCGCCTTGCCGTGGTATCTTATGTTTATGTAGTATGAATATATACCCATATATATATATATATTAACATATATATATATACACGCGCGTCTGGTATAATTTCTCCTGTCTCTAGTTTGCATGTGCTGTCCTTGACGTGCCACGCTACACATGGCATGCTGAAACACCAGGAGCTGGGAAGTTGTCCACACAAAGTCAACCCTTTGAGAAACAAGCAACAAACGCAACTCCAGAAAAGGACGGGCCAAAACAAGAAGCAGCCAAGAAAGAAAGAGGAAGCAGAGGACAAGGGGGACTGCCACTTGAAAGTGCACCCTAGCGTACAAGTCGGATTTTGTAGCGCCTTCATCCTTTTGACGTATTGGGTTATACCGCAACTGGGTTGAACATCAATCCACTTCAGTTCGCGTCAGGCCTGGCACGCCGGGCCCTGGCGCCTATGCTGCTGCTGCCAAGAGCAGTGCACGCATAAGGACGGGGTCACGACCGAGCCGAGCTTCCTTCGTGTGGGCACGGCGGTGGTCGCCCAGTTTGCGGGAGTCGCTTCAAGGGGGACATGAGAATTTACCCATCTTGGCACCTTGGTGCCCCTTATTCGGTTGGTTGTGGTGCCCGGTAGTCTATTGTTGTCATTGGCCGCCAACATTGAAGCATGTACACTGCAAATGGTCAGGGCTCCATTTCACTAGGGCTGGGGGTCACCAACGCGACCTTTGTCTCCACGCTATGAACCCATGGCCACGAAGACTTCTGACTGTGCCACAAGTTCATTTTGAGGTCACCACACCCCTGATGGTTCATGGGCCACGACTTGTTCAATGTCCATCCTGGTTTTTGGCTGACTTTTGATGGACAGCCACCACTCCAAGGCCTCCCACCCACTTGGAAAGACTGGCCTTTTGGAGGCACCTCCCTCGGGCATCAAAGTTTTTCCAGTTGTCAATTTGGCACTAGGTGTGTGTTGAGGCAAGACTGCTTGCCACCAGTATAGCCTCGCGCTCTCCTTGCGAAAAAGACACGCCAAGTCACCCAGATTTGTGGGGCCCGTTCTTTGCTGAGGTCAACGAAACAGGGGGTTGGAGGACAGTTCCCTAGGAAATTTGGTTTGGTTTGGTGACTGTTTGGAGTCATGTTGGGTGGGTTTAGGAGGTTCGCCAATCTCCCCCTTTTGACCTTGTTTGCCTTCCTGTTTGTTGGTTTGGAACTATGTGCCCCTAGGTTGGTGCCCCCCAACTGTACTTTTTCTACCCCTTTTGTTTTCGTTTGTGCCTCTGATAGACACCACATATGTACCCCGCACCCAACATATTGCCCTTTGCATACCCTTGTGTTGCCTATGTAGGTACCTTCGATGCAATCGAAAGGGAAGATAATCAATTTGGCGGCTTCCATTCCGGCTTGATTTTTGGGGATGCAACTATAGGCAGGTCGATTGGTGGCAAAGCAAATGTGGCTCAGTTGTACCCAGCCATTTGGCTGTGGCACAAAAATATGTACCAACAAATGACACTTTGGTAACTGGTACAGACTGAGACCTGCGGTTTGCCCTAGCTCTTGATTTCTGACCCCCCCCCATTTGTTTCTCGCTTGGAGCACGGCAGGCTCCCGAGTTTCTGTTTTGCTTGTTGGTTTTGTTAGGACTCCCTCCTACGGCTTTGGCACTGCAGAGCGGGACGGGGGCGTGGGGGTCCCTGAGAGTGACCGCAAGGCTGAGACTTGGGGACTGGGAGGCCCCTGTTGATGGCCCATGCTTATGGACTCATGGCACTTTTGTCCCAAGGCGCGAGTCGAAGGTTTTTTCACATGGAAGCTCATACTGCTTGTCTCCCGTGGTTGGAACGAAGGAGGTCACTCCCGAAACAGATGATCAGCGCCCCAAACGGAATCCCCAATCGCCATTTGAGTAGGCAGTTCTGCTGCCTGGTTTCATGCCGGTTTTAGAGTGACTAATGTAAACCTTTGTAGCAATATTGGTAGCAGCAGGTTTTGGGGGGCCGCTCAGATGACACATTTGCCTGTCATGTCTCCATGCGCCTGCATATTTCCCAATCAACCGATCCATGCGCCCTTGCTCACGTCTGAGTTCCGGGTTTGCTTCTCCATCTTCTTTTTGGGATGGGTTTAAGCACTTACAGAGTTTCGTGGTTGGTGCAGGTACATCATGTTCGGTTCCCATGGGTTGCCTTTAGGAAGGATCCGGGTCCATGGCCAAAAAAGGCGCCTTTTGCCTTTTTTGAGGCGGCCAGGGCTTTTGCCAATGAAATCCCAACTTGCGATCCATCTTGGGCGATGTGTTTCCTTCATTCGTTGGTCTCCTTCGCCGTTTTTTGATTTTCCCACCGGGTCTCATAGAACTGTGGGCAAAAGGTGCATTCCTTCTTGAATTTCAATCCTCGTCGTTGCGCCCTGTTTTTTGTTGCTAGTTTTCAGGGAATGCGTTCGCATCAATCAACTTTCCATGCGATTTGGTGTCCGTTTTTCGTCCATCTTCCCACCCGGGGTTTGTCATTTTCTCTGCCGGAAAACCTAAACCGCCGAGCCGCCCGGCGGTTTTGTTGGTGCCGAGGGCTTGCGGGTGAGCACGGCGCCGGGCCCGGGGACCTACGGCGCCTATGGCGCCTATGGCGCCCATGGACAGGCGGGGCGGGCGGTTGGCGGGGCGGTTGGCGGGGCGGGCAGGGGCGGCCAGGTGGGGTGGGTGGGTGGGTGGGTGGGTGGCTTGCCGTTGTTTTTTTTTTTGGGGGGGGGAGGCCCGTTGTTCTGGGGCTTTGGACGTCTTGGGGGTTTTCGTCTTCTTTTTGTTCTTTTCTAGGGGGGGGAGCGTGGTTGGGGTGGATTTACTTTTTGTTTTCCTTTTTCTTCAGTTTTCTTCTTTCTTTTCTTTTCTTTTTGGATTTTGGGGTTTTGTGCTGGAAGGTTCCCATCTTTTGGAGCACATGAAGTTGGATTGCGGGAAGCCTCGTTCTCCGAACAGTCGTGGTTGATGTTGCTTCAAAAACGGAGACGTTGGGGCAATTTCAATGGAAGAATCTACCAGAATCTGCACTCGCTTGAGGCCAAGCTGGAAGCCAAAAAGGAAGAACTTGGGGAATTCCTTCCACGGAAGTTGCCTGAGGGAGGGTCACTTTAGATGTTACTCTGCTAAGCCACCGGTGGTTGATTTCCACAGAAGGGTTTATGTCTACCTCGGGGAAATGAGGGGCCCGGCCTAGGCTACGTGGCATTCCCGTAGACAAACTGATTGGAGCTCGGAGTTTGATGCGTGTTCAAGTTATATACTGGCTTTGGCTTTATATACTGTTTTGTGGCTGGTGGCTGTAAAAGAGAATGCCTGGCTGGACATAATTCTGTTTCTGCCCTCCCCATGCTTTGACCCATTCTTCTTTCATGGACATTTCCAAGTTTCTCGGTCACTTTCTGAACAAGGATCCCAGGCAATGAGGCAAGTACAGCTATGATGCGCAGGTGCTGCATCCCCTCCAAGTAACATTCAGTCATAAGATTTGGGCAAATTTGAACTGAGCTTGCTCGGGCTAAAACCAGCTAGGGTATGTTTTCCACCACCATGCCTCATCTGATGGCCATGTTCAAAGGAAGTCCTGCCTCCTGGTTTGAGAGGATTGTAGTTGGGGCTCATATAAACCTTAGAAACCATCCCGTTAGAAGCAGAAGTCGATGAGGTTTCGACAATGTTGAACCCCTGCCAGCCATTCCGTGCATTCAGGGATTCCATTTACGATTCGAAGGTGATTCATATGCTCCTGAGAACAAGCGCGCAGAGAGGGGAATCTCGCTTGGTAGCACAGGAAGGATCGATTCACAACAGTGCACAAGCAGCTAGAAGGAAAGTAGTCTACTTTGGCGTCGCATGAACCATCATCGTTTCTGTTTTTACCCTCATTTCAACAATCAAGGAAGTGGGCAAGCATCTTCACCAGTGCAAGTCCATGATTGAAAAGAGGGTACCAGTTGGGAGTACCCTACACATTTGTGGATAAACCACCAATGACACCAGGTATGGCTTTGTATCACTTTCACAAATCTGGGTTTCAGTGCCGCCAGGCCCGGCCGCGCTCCGCGGGCCCCGCCTTCGGCCGGGCGAGGCGTGGGCGCGGGGCCTGAGAGTCCTCAAATACTGTGGACGGAATCCTGCACCACCGTTCGGAAACCCTGTCCGATGCTTCCCCGGATTGGTTCCTGCCCGCAAAAACCACGGTTTCGACCGTGGAGACCCCATGCGATTTCCGCAGCTCGAGATCCGCATCGGAGCCACCAAGCCGGTGGTCTAAACCAAAAATCTATGAAGTGTTTAACGCTCTAAAGTTCCTGGTAGGACAAGAGTATAACCATACCCAAGTTTATGAAGCAATACATTGCTTTTGGGATGGTAACATTCATCAGCAAGTCTTTCAGGCAAAAGGAAGCACATTAGGCACAACATACCAAGAGGAACATCACAATTCTGGGAGTGCCCGAAAAAAGACACAACCATATTTAATTCACAACATCACCAAATTCCTTCATAGAATCATAAAACAGCGTATATCCGTCCCCAACCCCAGTTGAAGTGTACGGGACAAGGCCTCGCGTACATATCGGGAAGGTGTGTGGGGAAATGTTCCTTGGCCCTTCACTGAGATGGTTTTCTCTTGGTTGCTCTTTGGTTTTTTTGAACCAACCCCCAAGCCTGGGGTTGGTTTGCAGGTCCTCCTGCTTTAGAATCCGAGAGCAGCTTGGCTTACTTTGCGATTTCTCTTTTGAGTAAACCAGGGCCCGCCTGCAACAAACATAAATGGGCGCCGGTGGGACTCGAACCCACGACCTCCCTAGCACGCATCACCCGTCAATTGACGGCATCTGATCACTGTGTGTCGGGTGCGCTGCCATTGTGCCACGGGCCCGTACCACCAAATGGACTTGACGTTCTGGCACCAGAAAACAAATCTTTTGCGCGACCTTCAAACTGTAACAGGTGCCGTCGAATTCAATCCAATTTTGGTGGGGACAAACATCAGGAGTCGCGCCAAGGTTGGGCGGCGGCAGTGCCACTCCGGGCCTGCAGCACAGAGTTTGCGGGAGAGTCGCGCCAGAACCCACTCGAGGAGACAAGCCCCAACTGTGTGGCAACAAGCCAAAAAATCATTCTTTGCTTAGGTAGGCCGCTTTGGTACCGTGTTTGTCTCCTAAACCTGTTGGGAAGCCCACAGTTCACTTGGTAATTAGGGTGCCCGTCTTTTGGTCTAAAAGGGGATTTGGGGTTGCAAGCCCGTTCGGGTTGCCGTTTTCCAGTCAGTTGAGGCGCAGTTCAATTCGATTTCAGCGTGGTTTCGATTCGATTTGAGTGAGGCCCGGGCGCCTACGTGCCCAACATCAACCCCACTAGGCAGGACCTTGAGCCGGCGAGCTCCTTGGTGGGAAGCTTGGTATCACCCTTAGCGCTAAAGTGCGTCCAGTTCGGTGTGGAAAGGGCGACTGACCGTGTATGTCAATCCTGATCCTGTCTTTGAACCCATCGTTGCTTGGAGGGCTCGGACCTTCAAGGAGTTTTTTGGGGATTCATTTTCCGAAAAAGTTTCCGCCTGCTCGGCAGGAACCAAGGCGTTTTCGTGCCACTGGAAGAATTCCAAGTACCAGCCAGTTTTTGATGGTTAAGCCCTTAGGAGCCTTCTCTCTCCCTCCCCTCCTTCTCTCTCGCGCCAGCTCCAAATCAAACGAATTCAACCGGCATCTCGATCGTGGCCGAGCTCCAGAAATGGGAGACGGGAGCAAGGTGGGGTTGGAACGGACAATTCTCTCATGGACAGCTGGGTTTATCCACCCCTGTGCAGATTTCGGCACTAAGACGCTTCGGAAGCGCGGGGAGAAGACTAGCCACAGGAAATGCGACAGGCAATTAGCTACCTCTCTTGAAATATTCAGGTTTTTGGCGACTCTGAAATGAACTGACTGGACGCTCACCTCCATGCAAATTCCAACCAAGCAGAAGTTAAACTCAACGTTGAATAGGAGTTGCGTGTGACTGTCAGATTGGCGTGCGCGAGCTGCACTTAAAATCACATTGGATTATGCAAAGTGCACTTTTGCAGCTCCAGCTCAAAAAACACAACTGTCCAGTACAAGAGTAGTGCGCGAAGTATGTTTTGGACGCTTCAACGCGCCTGTAGCAGCTCTACTATTTCGCGTATATTATTTGTTTGCAGCGAAATTCAGCAAATCATCAACATGGGGAAAAGGAACTCAATCCCACTTTATGTCCTTGCGCAGTTGCATTTACATGTTAACTCAAGTGTTGCGCATAATTCCATGTACATGCTAGGTCAGTCTATTTGGCACATATGTTGCAAAGCAACTATCCCATGTGTGCGTTTGCCTAAGTTAGTTCAATTGAAATTCAAGTAAGGGAAGGATATCCAGTTTAAAACGCTTTCGAGTTCAAACCAAATTCAAGTTTACTCGTTTGCAGTTTCTTGTGCATTTCAAAAAGTCAGCTGGAGAAGATAGCTATGGCCAAATGAATTTGGAACCAAACTCAGTTTTGAAAGGGTTATCGAACTTCGTGTCGTTTCAACCGAGCAAGAACTGAGCCAAGCTAATGACAGGAACGTGCTTTGAATCACAGATCTTATTCTTGGCACAAACGCTGTAAAACGCATGTGCTGAGATCGTGTTGCCCTGGATCGAAGATCGACTATACAAGATTCCACAAACATATGTTTAGAACATCCTCAATCCTGGTCCCCCAAAAACTTGACAGTTTGTTCTAGACTCATTAAATATTTGCCCCCTGCATTGAAGATTGAAGATCTACCAGATTTTCTATTTGAGTATCTTCCATCCTGCCCTCAAGTCCACAAAGAACCATGTAAAGGTGTCAACAGCATGTTTCCCCCCTGGCCAAATGCAAGCAGTGCAAGTGCACATCCACAATTTGATTCTGACAACGCGCGCTCCCGGTCTACCTTTTGGATTCTTCAAATCCGCACTGAGGGCAACCCAGGATCTGGATTGAAGATTGAAGATTCTCTGACAACTCTTTCTGAAATTCTCCAAATATGTACTTAGGGCAATCCAGGATGTGTTAGCGCGTGCTAGCACGTCCTGGATTGAAGATTGAAGATTGAAGATTCTCAGACCACTTGTTCTGGCAATCTTCAATCCATCCTTAGGACAAACTGATATGTGCTAGCACGTGCTAACGCATCCTGGATTGAAGATTGAAGATTGAAGATTCTCTGACAACTCTTTCTGGCAATCTTCAATCCATCCTTAGGACAAACTGATATGTGCTAGCACGTGCTAGCACATCCTGGATTGAAGATTGAAGAATCCCAGAAAGAGTTGTCAGAGAATCTTCAATCTTCAATCTTCAATCTTCAATCCAGGATGTGCCAGCACGTGCTAGCACATATCAGTTTGTCCTAAGGATGGATTGAAGATTGCCAGAACAAGTGGTCTGAGAATCTTCAATCTTCAATCTTCAATCCAGGATATGCCAGCACGTGCTAGAACATCCTGGGTTGCACTAAGTACCGATGCTAGAATTTAAGTCTAACAAGGAGTGCATTTTTAGAGCCTCATTTTAGAAGCTGGAACGTGTGTTTTGCATTCATTTTTACAGCCAAAACGTCAATTTCCGGCCAAAAACCTGAGTATTCCAGGGGCGGGGGGCACCATATATATATATATATATGTATACATGTACATATACATATAGATCTAGGAACCGGTGTTCTTTTCTATTGTTGAATTCACACCAGCCGTGTTTATTATTGAATGTCCTCATGTTGGATTCTCATTTCGGTGTTTTTTTGGACAGACGAAGCGAGCAAGCAAGTGAGTGAGCAACTGGTGATTCCAAAGAAATACCACCTCGTTCCCGTTTTAGTTTGTTTGATTTCAAAAGAAAACACACGAGGGCCCAGAGGCGTGAATTCGAAACAAAACAAAAAAAAACACCGAAACCTCCCAGGGGTGATTCCAAAACAAAAACAAACCGGGACCTCCCAGGCGTGATTTCATAAAAAAATGCAAAAATCAATATCACGCCAAACAAGCGCCGGCCCCAAGCGTGACTTCAAGAAAATAGACACATGTGCACACACACACACACACAGCCAGACGGGATTTCAAAAGAAAACACACGAGGACCAAGAGCACCACGAGGCGTGAATTCGAAGCAAAAAGCACCGGGACCGCCCAGGCATGATTTCAACACACGTGATTCCCAAAAACGAAGCACCGGAGCCATAGATCTATTTTTACATATATATATAATCATATGTATATATGTATATATATATATATAATTACATATCCATGTGTGTATAGATCTATCGGTGATGTTTTGGCACTGCTCACCGCCAGGATGGGTGCTCCAAGGCACACTTGCACTCCGAGAAGGGATGGAGCCTGGAGCTCGAGACGCCGAGATGGAAACGGATGGGCCCCACCCCGGCTGGTCCAAAAAACATCCCGGAGACATGGAGACCCCATCCCTTTGGAAGACTTTCATGGGATTGCCGACATGTCCTTTTGATCGGTGAGTTTCATGAAAATAGATGTGTTCCACTGGTGGGTTTCTTCCATTTACCAGGGCCATCTGTTTTTCCAAGAGGCCACCTATGGGCTACACCCTGCGGTGCTTCAATTTTCCTGGTGCTTTAGTTTGGATCATCCCACCCCAAATATCCTAAAATTCGGGGTGTGTCTCTTTTGGAGGTTGGATCCCTGGAAGAAAATGCATACACATGAACGGGAGAGGCTATAGTGAATGGACTGTGACATTACAAAGAATCCATCTGTGTTTGAACATCCTTTTGGTTTCCCTTTAAGACCCCCAACAAAAAGAGACACCCAAATGGCGTAGTCATAGCTGTCAGCTAGCTTGCTTCACGACGAATTGTTTGGAGGAGCCCTCTTGCGCACACCTCCAGTGGTGCAACAGCTTTTTCTGTTGGGAAGGTTTGCAACAACACATCGACCAACATAGAACAGACCGACCCCTTTTTGTGCCCTGACTGGAGGTTTGGGTGGCGCCTTCAGCAAAGGGGGGATGCCTTTTGGGACCATTTTGTGATCATTGTCCCAATTGGGCCGCCGCCTTCTTTTTGAACCCTAAGCAAATTTGGGCGGTGTCCCCCAACAGTTGGGCATGTGCGAAAGGTTGGACGAAAAACGGTTAATATTTGCAGGTTCAATAAAACCCACGCCGAAGAAACATCCCTTTTGGGAATCGAACCTTTGGGTCCCTTCCAAGCATGGAACCTGCAAGAGGGTCCCTGCTGAAAAATCGTCTTGCAGGGGTCCCGTGTTAAGGGCACCCCGCATGCCCGTCCATGAAAGGTGAATGTCCCTTTGTGGGGGTGATGTTTTAAGGGGAAACAGAGGGGGCCCTGCTAAGTGGCCACTTAGCAGGGCCCCGGCAATTGTTGCAGGAAGGTAAACATTTGGGTGTGATTTTTCTTGGTGCCCTTTTTGGGGGTTTAGCTTTCATGGAGACCAAATGGAACACTCACTCATTTTCGGGACCCGGTCCCCTACTTTGCCGCACACCCATTTCGACTGCTTGCGAGCGATTTCCAGGTCTTTGGGGGTGGAGGATCGCAGGGCGCGCCCGGCTCTCATGCCGAAGCTTCCGTCCCTCGAAGATACCCTCCGTCCAAGAATCATGGAAGCTGACAGGAGGGTTTCGGAAGTCGAAAGCTTTTCTTTTGGGGAACCCCTCTGTCCACATGATTGGAAGGTAGTTGGATTTCAAGTCTCAAACTGGGCTTTCTCATGGGCAGTGTTGTGTACCAATCGAAGCAGTTTTGAATATATCACTTGACTGGACCCTGGTGGAGCGTATTAATCAGAGGAAGCCCACGCAAGAATGAGGCAATTCATTTCTCCCGCGAAAAGGGGTTTCCCATCTCTGATGAGTATTGTCTCAGGCTTCTTGCGATCTTCAGATAAGCTTCCTAGATGAGTGGCGTGTGCAGCTTATTTTAGTTGGTGGTTGTTTTCTTCCTTCCTGGTTTGACGGGGTTGTAGTAAGGCCTTTGTATAGCTTCATGACCATGCAGGCAGAACCAATCAATAGTCACTGGCTTTTGGGTGCCCAATGCGACAAGGTCTCTTACATCCTCCTGGTCCCAAGGCAAGCTTTTACAGGGGAGGGCGATCATTCCCTTCTTTCTGTGGGTATCTCATCTTCCGTGGGGTAGTTAAAGATCAGATGTTGTCGGAGTGATCATCCCGTGCTTCCTGTGATCCAGCTTCGATGCGTTTTTCAGATCCATTGCTCGGGGTTTGTTGGCGGAAACCACCCGGTTGCTGTGGAAGGTGCCCGTGATCAGCTTGCGGCTTTTTTTCCGGCCTTCGGGCTCCACGAAAACTCCGTCTCCATTCTTCGGAAAAAAAGAGAGAGAATCAGGCCAGCTACCCATTAAAAAAAGCAGGAGTTTGGGCTGAGACCCAGATTTTCCGGTGGCTTCTGGGATGTCTTTGGCGTCTGAGGTTTGGCACCCCCGGGCCCGGCACCTACGGGGACGCGGGCAGCGGAGGCTCCAGCCCCATGGCCAAGGCGGCCCCGCGCTGGGGGCCGGGAGCTGAGCGTTTTCTTTCTCCGCCTCACCGGAGTTCCATTTCGGACTTCTTCTCAACTTAGGTTTGGACTAGAATCAGCTTGGGGTTCTGGCTTTCAGTTTTTTTTTTTTTTTTTTTTTTTTTTTTTTTTTTTTTAAATTAAACTGTTTCAACTTTGTGGGTTTGGACCATTTTGGTGGCACGTAGAAAGTTCGGACTTTTTCCGGCCAATCCATTCGATCGGAAGCAAGCCACAGTTCCGGAGGGTTCCAGAGCATGTTCGAGGCTGTGGGAGATACCTCCTCCCGATTGCCCGGCTTAATTTGTGAACTTCGGATTGGTCTTTTTTCCTCCCGCTGTTCGCTACTTCAAAGAGGCGAAACGTCCTCACTGATTGGGTCAACTGAAACGCAAACTGCTGCTCCAGGTTGCTGTAGGATTAATCGGGCCGGTACTAATCAGGGGCGACACCCCCCTTCTAAGGAAATGATCTATAGGGGGCTCCTTTGAGTCGGATTTTTAGGATCAATCCAAGGTTGACATTCTCCTTCGTCCCTTGTGTTGAGTGGGTGAACCCCCTCCTGTTTTTGTTTGTCCTTTGTCCTTTCTGTTGGGCAGGGTGTCCCCTTTTTCCCGAGCCGCTGGGCACGAGCAAGTACGTGCCTGGCCAGAGAGGTGAGGACGGGAAATCGGCGCCAAACACAAGGCAGCCACCGACCAATAGCTGCATAGATAGCACATGCTATGCTTACATATATGTATATACACGTATTATATATGTATATACATACACATATGTATGTCCACAGAAACACGTGTTGCTCCTCATTGCTCTTGCAAAGGGTGCAGCCTTTTTCTTCAGCGTGCACCGAGGTTCGGGAGCTCCGCGAGGGGAGTGAATGCATACGGCCGCGAGCCCGGCTTGGAACTCCGAGGCGTTCAAAGGATTCGAGGTGAGTTCTAAATTGGTGATCCCAGTTGCCCAGTGGCTTGCTTCCTTTTTTCGACTTTTTTTTGGGAAGGGTTCCGGTTCCTTTAACGTCAACCAACCAAAAAAGGATGTTCTGTTTTTCCCATGACCATCTGAGTGATGTTTAAGAGCCAGACATGTTGTGGGACACATTTTGATCTTGCAAAGATCGCCATCAGCAGAATCTTGGGAGCTTCTCCACAGGCCTCTGGGTTGTACTCGGGATTCACAACTGTCGGGGGCTTATTACTTTTGTGGTGTCCCTGGTTTTAGTGGGGATGTTTAACTTTCACTTCATATGGGGACCCATATCAATAGCAAATCTGGGGTTGATTCATTTGGGACGTCGCTGAGGCCAGGGCCCTGGACCGGGTCAATACGACCTGCGCCGGCTCCGCCACGTTTCTCGATCCGCTGTTTGCGCAGGAAACGAAGTCCAGCGCTTCCCCCCTATTAGCATGTATATATATATATAGAAAGATCCAGTCTGCCGGCCACCCCCCCCAAAGGGTAGGGTTCTTCCCCAGACCCCCTCCTTGAGGACCCTTGCATCCCGACAAGTAGGACAACTCAACCCTTAACCCTAACCCTGAATCAACCCTAAATCAACCTTAAACCAACCCTGAGCCAACCCAAAGCCCGCACAACACCCACCCTAAACCCACTGCAAACCAACCCTATACCCACCCTAAACCAACCCTAAACAAACCCAAACCACACCACACCCCAACCACCCCCCCACCCTCCCAGCGGGGGGGGGGAGATGTGTATATGTGGTTCCTTGCTCTTGTTTTCTCGAACAGCTGGCGGCTCTGGGGTCTCTGCCCACTGAGGTCTGGGTTCCTGGTTTCTGTTTTGTGAAGCCTTGAGGTGCCTTTCCCTTTTGAAGGCTTGAGCCGCGTGTTTCTGCAGCGCCAAGTTTGAGGCCCTGGCCGTGGTTAGGGTCGCTCTGTCTCAAGCTGGTGGGTTTGTCTTAGGTTGGACCAACCCAAACACTGACATCCGTTTGGTTGTCCTTTTGGTTTCATCTCTTTGTTTGAGGGTACCTCACCCATCCACCGACAGGGTCCACGTCCATTTTGGACTATCGTGGAAGTCCGAGGGAAAAACATCGAAGTTATGATCATACCAAGTCTTTGTCTTTCTTTCTGTCTTTTTCTTGAGGAGCCTTTTATAAATGTTGCATTGACGGGAAGCCAGTTTTGTTTGATGCAATCCTTTTTTGTGCTGTTTTGTGTGGAATTGGGGGGGGGCTTGACCCATACATCTTGTTTTTGGGGGGCTCTCTGAAATTTCGGTGCCTCCGGAAGTCCTCAATCCATTTTGGTTTGGCTTCCGTCGTGTTCCCAAGTTTTGGAGCCAATCCCAAACCCGCCAGGTTCCAGAGTCGGAGGCTGGCCGAAGCCGGCTGTCGAAACGGATTTCTTATTGCCAAAGTGATTGCGGGGGCCTCCTGAATGGGCGACGTGCAGCTTTACGCCAACCTGGGGTTCCTGGTTCCTTTCTGCTTTATCCTGGTTCCTTTCTGCTGTTGGGTGACAGTAGATGTCACCGTTGCGCTCCCCCCCCCCCCACTGGTTTTAATCAATTGCCCACCAGCAGTTGAGGGCTTAGCCTGGTGCACAGAACACATTCTTGCCTTGCTCGTTTCTGGTTTTCTTTTGCCTTGCCAATGGGCGCTGTAAAAAAAAGTCTTCGAGTCTATTGGAGCTGCTGTTGGGCCAGGGTTATGGGGATGGCACGGACAGGAGACCCCAGGCGAGGCAAAGACGCGTTCCCATTGGGAGACACATGTCTTTTCGCAAAATTATACAAATTCCAGAAAGGGGCGGGGAGAGGTAGGTGGATTCTCACCCGAAAGTGATGCTGGATTCGAGGTATGGAAAACCCAAGCTTGCCCATCAAACAAAACAGATTCGGCCAAAGGACCCGCGTCGGCCATACCAAGGGCGGGGCGCGAGGTGTCATCCTCTCTACAAATTATCAGGTCGCTTTGGCTTCGTTGGGTTTTTCTTTAATTGGGTGTGTGGTGTGGGTCAGACACAGATGACCCAAAATGGAACCCTGCTAAATGTAGAACACGGACTAGAACTTGCGGTCCATATCCTGGTGTTTGGTCAAACATCGATGAGTTCCACTGTTTTAGACGTTTTTTTCGTTCTTCCTCTTTTTTATCTCCATTTTTTGTTTGCCCCATTTGCCAGGGGAACCCATCGATTTTTCCACCAGGCCCACGGGTTCTGCCGTGAAACTTCCGAAAAACAAAAAAAACTCCGGTTCTCGATCCGGAAGGCCCCAGATTCTCGATCAAGGGCCGGCACGACCTGGGGGATGGCTCGCTGTGCCCCACGCGGAGCCGCCGCGGAGTTGGACGAACATCACCTTTTTGGTCCATGAAAGGTGAGTATCCCTGGTCGGGGGTGATGTTTTAAGGGGGGAAAAAAGGAGCCCTTTTTTGGTCAGGTCCTTTGGTTCGGATTGGGCCAATGGGAAACCCCACGGAGGGGAAGCTGGCGAGGGCTGGGTCAGGCCCTTTCAAGTAAAGAATTTAAAACCACGGTGTTTTTTTCTTTTTTTCTTCTTTTCCGCGACTTCCTTTGGTGTTTCGAAGGAGAAAAGGAGTTAATTGATCGGAAGGCCAGTGGCTTTCTCCAGCCGTGGCAGGACTTTTCTCACTGGAAGTTGGGCGGGAGGGGGGGGGGGGGTGGGATCCGTATTGGACCTCGGTTGTCCGATGGTGCAGTGTGAGGTCATCCTTTGGTTTGGATGGGTGGGGAGTTGAAACCCTGGTTCCTCGTGAATCAAAGCGGAAAGGGACTCCCTAAGATCCAGACCATCAATCCAAGTCATTCAGGAGTAAGATGATAAGGCCGTGTTCAAAAAGTGATTGGATTGGATTTCTCGGCCATCGGCTTACAGGTTGGATGAGAGCATTTGCTGCCGCCCTGGAAGGACTTCAGGGCTTGCTGTTCTTCACTATTGGCCCCTCTGTGCATTTTTGGCTTATCTGAAGCCTCACTTGGACGTTAGTTTACCTGTGGGCCCCATTTTTCGGGTTCTGCTAGAGCAAGAGGTACGACTTGTCTCATTTTATGCCCGAATCCCTGCATAGTGCCGCCTGGGCGTGTCTTTTCTTTTGGGGTACCCTTTTCGTGGTTTACAAGGGGAAAAACAAAAAGGAACACCATTGCGCCATTTTGGGGCTCCGATTCCTGGAAGCAATCACACCCGTACTGCCCACCCGGGGGTTTGAAAAGCAACGGGGGTCATTCAGGGGCTGACGATGGTAGGTCCGGAACGTGGTCCCGGAGCCATATGCCCTGTGCTATTGTGGCTTCCAAATGAGTTTATTATCGCTGGCAGAAAGAAAAGCACAGAGACACACAACAGCGCGAAAACAGACAACAAGACAAGAGAAAACACGCACAATAAACAAAGCTTAACAAAACAACAAACTCAGAACAAACAAAACTTATCAACAAAACACATTCCACAGCCAACAAGCAACACACCCCCAACAAGCAACAACACACAGCAAACGAAGCTTAACAACAAAGAACAAACCACCGCCAACAAGCAGCAAACACCCAACACGCAACAGCACACAAACAAAACTTAGAACAAACAACAAACCACCGCCAACAAGCAACACACCCCCAACAGGCAACAGCACACAACAAACAAAATTTGACAACAAACAACAAACCACCGCCAACAAGCAACACACCCCGAACAGGCAACAGCACACAACAAACAAAACTTAACGACAAACAAAGCTTGACAACAAACAACAAACCACAGCCAACACGCAACAAGCCCCCAACAAGCAACGGCACAACCGAACAACAAACAACAGCCAACCTCCAGATCAACAGCCTCCGTTTTGGTTCTTCGCCAGGCCTGGTCCGGGCTCCTTCGGGGGCATGTACACTCAGTTCGGCTACTGAGCCCGGCTTTGACCGCTGGAGTTCTCCCCGAAAAGATCCGTGGAGGAACCCGACGGTTTGCTGAGCCATACGAAGGTTCGAGTATGGCGACGACCTTGTCTGTGCTTTTGGTTTGGGGGCACCATTTTTGTGAGGTGGTGAGAGAAGGAAAACCAAAAGGAGACCACCCATTTGGCGGGTTTTTCTAGCCGTCGATGGACCAGGCATCAGATGTAGGTGGACCCCCGACACCGTTGGTTTCCTTTTGGGTACCAAGGAAGGGTAACCCATAAAAATAATAAAATAATATGAAAAACAACAACAAAAAGTGAAAATCAACATCCATTTTGGCAATGGTCCTTTTGACTCCTTGGCTTCGGAACGGGGAATTTAGAGACAACAGGTGTGAGGAACAGGTGCTTTCCCAGAAGGACATGATTCGGAAAAAAACAAAGATTGGTGGTGCGGCAAAGTGGCAAATATTTCCTCATAATGTTTCTATGTCCATTGAAAACCATTCAAAAGGGTCCCCGCAAACTAAGGGCATACCCATTTGGGTTTCTTCACTTCTGAGGGTTTGCTGGCTGCAGCGCCCCGTGTTGATGTCAGTCTTTGAAAAGCCACGTTGCTGGGGGCAGCAACCCATGTTGAAGGGTGTTATCCCTCCTGCAACAAGTTGGCCAGCCATGCGAACATCGCATATTGTCGCTTCCCAAGGCGGTGGCATGCGCCCGATGGCCCGGTTGGCCTGCCCTGTACCTTGACTGTGGTTCATTTTGCTTGGATGTTAGGACTTTCACTTTTTGCCATTGGGTTTTCCATTAAACCACCAAAAGTTAAACTTTTAGCCGGGGAGCAGAAAGCAACCGAGCTTAGGTTCGTCGTTTCAGGGAACATGTTCTGCGCGTGGTTCACGAGCGCTGAACCGAAAGAGAAGCTGGTCAATCGCTGGACAGGACCCAAACGGACGAGCCACTTAACACGTCCCAAGAGCTCGTTTGGCGTGTGCCATTCCTTGCTTTCAAAGACCCTGGCGTTCCTCGTTCGCTCGTGATCATATTTGGATCGTTCAAAGGCTCGTGGTTGCGAATTTGGGATGCCAGGCTAGGTAATGCAACTGGACGTGCTTCCACCGCAACGGGGGCATTGGTTGGGCCAAAGTTGTTGAGAGCCTGCCTATTGACTGTTCTTGGCACTTTGTTTTGGTGTGATCTTGGTTCTGCACATTTTTAGTGGCTTGCAAAGAAGACGGTTGTTGCTAGCACACCAAGGAATGGAAAGGAGCTGTTTGGTTTCATGATGGAAGTAGCGTTTGCCTTCCCGGGCAAGCCGCCGAAAGCGCCGGCCCGGGTTGGCTGTGTGGTCAATGCAGAAAAGGAGGAGCGATGCAGCCAGGCCGCTGTTTGTGCCACACGTAGATCAAAGGGCCCTGCCCTCCCACCAACTAGCATGGAAGTGCAAAACGGTCCTCTCCAAGAGGAAACTAGTCTTTCTGCAGGGGTCTGTGCACTTTCGTGTTAGCTGGTGGGAGGGTAGTCTCGTAATCTCAAACTCGCTTCCGTTGTGCAATGTGTCGCCGGATCAAGCTGGCGGATCTAGGGTAGAAGTCGTGAATCAAGGAAAAGAGCAAATGCTTTGGCAGGCCCACCTCTTGTCTCGAGTATGGGGCTGGAAGCACATCCAGGAGTTTATCAATCAAGTGGGGTTCCATCTAGGAGGAAAACATCGCCTGCCGAATTTCGTGGGTCTTCAATAGTACTGAGCATAGGTGTCCTCTTTAGGTTGGCTGCAATGAAATAGATGGCTTCCGCTGGTGGATTCGCCCCATTTACCAGGGAATCTCATCTATTTGGAACGAAAGGTCACCTATGGTGAGGGCTTGCCCAAAGTCCGTGAACCGGGGGTGTGATGGAGGTTTCTAGGTCGGTAGAACATGGGTGAACCGGGCGCGCTCGTGTTTGTGGGAACCCTTTCAGAACTCCGAAGCTGATCTGGGCGACTTCACAGCTGGTTGGGCTGAGGAGTGGCTGAGCAATTCATGAGGTCACCCTATTCTTATCGGTGTTTTTTAGGAGGTTAACAGGGTCGCTCGATTCGCAGCGTGGATCTCCAAGGCCGGAAAATCCTGACTAAGGGGGGGGGCAGTGACCTGGAGGTGGGGTTAGGCTGGGATGTTAAAGTCACACCGCAAATTCTGTGTGAACCCTTCCAAGTTCAGGTTGGATGCGATGCGTCAAACACTGGGACCGCTGCGTCCGGTAGTTGGAGTGCGTTCCTTCGGCCGCTTGTCGAAGTCGTGTCGTTTCAGGAAAGCCCCTGAAACTCCTTTGCAACATCCTTAAGTCTCACTGGTGAAAGATCTGGGGGTAGGTCCCGGTGGAGCATTGCCCGATTTGGCTTGTCTTCTGAACTTGAGGGTACCCTTTTTGGTCAGGAACCTCTTCAGAGCCACATGGGGGAGGCCTTGTGCTGAGCCGGGGCTAGTACACAAAACCGGGGCTAGTAAAACAAATCGGGGCTAGTAAAAACAAAAAAGACACCTCAACCTTCTTTAAAGCGTCATCTTGGGGGGGTAGCCTCCAAAAACGACACACTCATTTGCCAATTCAAGCAGCACGAAGCCATTGCAAGGGTCTCAGTCCACTGCCTTGGCTCCAGACTCGACGCGCCAAGCGCCATCTTCCCGCGCCCACGCGTAAGGCCCGTGGCGAAAATAGCTTGGCATCTGCCTGAGTTCAATAAACTGAGCTCCTCAAGTTTACCCCCAAGGTTTTAAGGGAACCACTCCCCAAATGTGGTTTCTTGAGAACCCCCCTAAACGAATTTCACTCTAGACTCAGCTTGCTGAAGATGTGTTTTCGGACTTCCCGTTTCAGAGGGAAACTATCATGGCTTGTGGCAGCTCTTGCACATAGAAGAGCGCCGGCATCGGGTGTCTTCAGAGCCGAGTCGCTAGAAGCTTTCGACTGACCGATTTAATTCGGATAGAAGTCTGTTTGGGGCAGTAAGTTTTGGTTGTCGAAAGAATGAAGCTCCAAGTTATTACACTGCAAATGATGCATGATGGCCCCAGAGCAAGCGCAAGAGCGGGCCGCAGAGAGCAAAATCTGTGGAAAAGGAGCGGTTGTCACGCTGCACATGTTCAACAACCAGCCCCCCAGTCCCTCATGTTGGGGACCCAAAAGGAGGTTCGAATCGCCCGACCCTGCCAGTTGGGATCCTTTGAATGAGTTTGATGTTTAAACGGGACACATCTACTTGTTTGTCCGGCTTTCAGTCCGGCGCCAGCAAACAAATGAGCAGGACACGGGCATTTGTGTTTTCCGCCAGTTTCTCACGCACCAGATGGCCTCGAAGGGGTCAAAGGTACATCGGAAGGTGAGAGACTGAAGCTAATTGTAAACGCTTCGCGTTGCCCGCCTCGGCCCAGCCTAGTTTGAGGGAAGGGTCAGGAACACCGAAATCCAGTGTTGGGAAGGTCCGAATCCTACTGAAAGCTTGTGACCGCACCAGTTCGCCCGTGCTAGTTCGATGTTCGGAAGCCGTCCTGCTCGGAAGGTTTGAAATCCAAAACCAAGACTATCTCAGCTGCTCAGTGCCCTTGGAAAAAAAGGACCTCTTTCTGGGGATGAGCATTTTTAGTGGGGCTTGGCCTCCATAAAAAGGGGAACAATAATTGGTGTCACTGAACAACCAAGACCAACTTTGGGTGTTTGGGCACCTCCATTTCACGTGGCTGGCGGCTTGCCATGACACACATTTCTTGCTCGGTTGCTCAGCCCAAGACAGGTACATGGTGGGAATACAAACCTCCATTTGCTTAAGTACCCCGGAAAAATATCCCCAATAGTGATCTGCAGGCTGGGCTGAGGTGGGTTGCTGGTTGGGCTGGGCCTGAAGCTAGTCTCAGCCACGAGGCTGCGAAGCCATGGGTGGGTTGCTGGCTGCCGGGCAGCCGGACTACGCTGCTGGTTGCGCCTGGAACTTGGGCTGGGCGGGCTGGGCTGAGCTGTGCTTGGGCGGGTTGCTGGATGGGCAAGGCCTGTTTCATACACACTTGGGCCTGAGGCTGGGTGGCGAGTTGCTGGCTGGCTGGGCCTGAGGCCAGTCGCAGACACGTAAGACACGCCAGCAGGCGGGCTGAGGGACTGGGCCTGAGGCTAGTCTCAGGCAGACCGCCGAAGGGGCTGAGCCTGCTGGATGACTTGGGGCCAGACGCGAGCAGGAGGTCAAGTGGCCAGCCTGGGCTGAGCTGCCGAAAATTTCAAGGCCCGCCGGACAGGATTTTGGGCCAGCCGGGGGGGGGGCGGGCTGGCAGGGGGTTGGGGGAGGGGAAAAGCGAAGATTCTCTTTGGAGAAGAGATCTGAGCGCCCTTGGCCCCTTTCAGCCCGAGGCGAACTTCTTGCTTTGTTTTTTTTCCACAAGTTCTTTTTGAAACGGCTTTCCTTGATGGTTTTTGGTTTCCTTTTTTTCCCCCGAACATGGCGGACTTATTCTCTTTTTCGTGGAAGGGAAACTAAAGGAGACCGGCAGGCCATCAGATGGAGCAGCCGGCCCGGGCCCCCGACACCGAAACGTGAACACCGAGCACCTCAGGTGGTTTTGGGATCCAAAGCGCCAAGGGGAAGCTGAAGCACTGTGCTCTGCACGTTGAAGATTTTGTTTCCAGTGGCATTTTTTTCGAATACTGGAGGTCTGGGGATCTGTTCGCGCCATTACGCCGAGCTTCCATGGTTCCTCTACACTCGACAAATGATGGCCTTGGGTTCTATACTAATTTGAAGGGGAATACCATGGGGGTGCTTCCACCAACAAGTGTGTGCATGATTTTCTTGAGGGAAGCCTTTTAAAGCAAGCAGCAAAACACACCCAAGCAAGGTTGGCCTCAATTCAAGTGGGGAGACAACACCACGTTGACTTGTAATGGAGCCATATTGCCGGATCTCCCAGTTTGGGACGCCTCTGACGACCACCGGGAATGAGCTTTTCTTCGGCGTCGCGGCTGACCGGCCGTTGGGAAAGATAACCAACCCCCATTGGGGAAAGTTCCCCGGATGGGACCCACTAGCTCGCTAGAGAAACTCGGAGGTTTTCTCCTTCCGTTTTGGGGTGTGTGGGGTCTTTGAGACTGTTTTTTTGCAGATGAGTCCGCTTCGCTCAACCGCTGGTTGGCTTTGGGCTTGTTGCTCGACTGAAGGTTCGAAGGATCCTTTGCAGGGGCCCAGGTTCCACAGGTTCCACCCGGGCACATCCGAGGCCTTACGGCGAGAGTTCGCTTTAAGGACTATTTCATCTTGATGTGCTAAGTGATACAATTTCAATTTTGCCTACGTGCCCATTTTCCATTTGGGCCCCTATACCAGCACAGTGATCGACCTCGAGGGTGGGGGGGCGGCTGTGAGGGAGATCCCCGCAACAAGCACGTTTCATTTGCCGTACTTCAGGCAGCAACCGAGGAGGTGGGGGGAGAGTGAGAGAGAGAGAGAGAGAGATCTGCAAAGGAGCCTCCAGTTTTTGGTCCAAGGTCTTTGTCAAAGTCTCCAAGCGGCGGGAGTTTGGACAACCCAAACCGATCCCAAACCGATTGTTTGGGCCGCCTTGCTCTGCGTGAGGCGTCCGTTTCTGGGGTACCAGACAAGTTTCTCAGGTCGGCCCCAGCCCCCTTGGTCAGGACCCCTTCTCCGAGTTCTTGTCCCAGGACCGCGCTTGCCCTTTGCTGAGCAAGGTGTGACGATCTTCCGTCTTTCTTTTTTTCCTACTTGGGGGAGGCGGGGGGGGGGGACTCGTTTTTTTGAGTATTGGATTGCGACTCGTGATTGGATTCACCAGCTTCGGGCACTTTCACGGTTTCTGCACGAAGCGACACGCATGCTTATTGAAGTGATTAATATCCAACTTTTCTTGGCACTGGATCTTATTTGATGTTTGTTTGCGGCATGTTGCAACGGGGACGCTATGGTGCAGGCCGGCCGTCAATTCTTTGGCGTCTAAGGCGCATCACCCTTGGTCGCTTTTGGTTTTGTATTATCCGCGCTCGCAAATGGTCCTCCCAGAAAGGGGTCCCTTTCTCTAGGGAGCCGGGTTCGATGCAGCCACGAAGGAGCCAACAGCTCCGGCCCCGCCAGCAGAGGTGCGGAGGGTTAGGGACGGCTTCTTTTGCTTCGCACAGCCGCCAGTGCGGGAATCAGCTGGACCTTTTGACGAAACTGGGTAACTTGAAAATGGAGGTCGAACAGGTGGCTTGGAGAAATGCCCTTGGGTTTTGCTTTTGTGCGACATGCTTGGCTCCCACAATCAGAGACACCGCGAAAAATGCGTGGTACTCCCCTCGACGAAGATCTAGCCGCTTGCCAAAAGCATGTCGAAGCTCGACATCCGAAGGGCAATTGCGGAGCGGGCTCTAGCGATTCTGCAATCTGCTGAAGCATGTCGTGACAAGGCCTCTGCTTTGGCCGAGCTAGATGCGTGGCTTCTGCGGAACCTTCGGGAGAGGTCCAAAGTGTTCTGCAGGGCTTGGGGCAATCCTTTGAAAGGGGATGATGTAGGGATAAGTGGGGAATTGGATGGACACCTTTTCCTGAAGCAAACTCAGGCAACTGAACCAGCAACCTGAGTGCGATTCAAAGGGCTCAGAAACAGGGGCTCTCAGGTTTGAAGAGTGTGCCTCAGAGCACATTTCAGCTTCGTGTTATTCAGCTGATTCAGCCTTGGTGTCTCCCAGATATGCACAGAGCGGTTCGTGGTGGTGTGTGTGTGTGTGTTTTTTTTTTTTGATATTATATATATAACAACATAACACGGGTTTCGGGCTCGGGCGCAAAGGGCGCTCAACATACTTCACCTAGCGGTTCTGGGTGAGACTGCCCCAAGCTACCCCAACTCAATCCAAGCCACCAGCTTGGAGGAAGCTTCCTGTGGTCAAATAGTTTTCCGGTGAGGTTCCTGTGAGCTTTTGTGGGAAGAGGCAATGGCCATGGACCAATCTTTGCTACAAAGAACCAAGCTCATAGGTGTCCTTTGTCGGTTGTTTTGCTAGAAACATCGATGGCCCTCCTTCGAGTCCTGAGCCTTTGGGAGCCTTTGGTTTCCTAAGAACAACACATGAGCCACAATCAAAATCCGGGTAGATGAAGACTACTAAGGGGCAGTCCCAACCCGAAATAGGTGCGGCCACCTTTCTAGTTCTTTACATGGTTCTGGGTTCACCATTTTTGTACAAGGTGTTGATTGTGACTCACATATAGTTGAGGCTTTTGCTTTAGTTTTGGGAAAGGATCCTATTGGGGAAGGTACTCCTACCATGGGCGATTGAGACATTGACCGAACCTACCCCCCAAAAAACACCCGGCAACTTAAACATGAGCGCTCTTTCTCTCTTTCCTAGGGCGCTGAGTCCCTGCTTCGGCTGGTGGCGGAGTCGGCGCAGCGTTCGGGGCCATGGATTGCGCCAGGTGTTGCTGGTGTGTACCATGCCTATGGCCCACATCTGTGAATTTTGGGTGCATCCGTCCCAAAGAAGCCACCCAATTGAACCGCCGAACATGTATGTTCTGGTTGCCTGCAGTGAGAAGTGGGATTGCTTGCTGTCAGTGGCGCTTCGGTGGAACGCACCAAGCTGGATTTAACCCCTCCGACTTCCCATCCTTCCAAAGCCTTTTCTCCCAAAGCCTCTCGTGCTTTTCATTTCGGCCGGAACCCAGGGGAATGGGGGGTTGAATCCTGTGAGCATGGTGAGCGACCAGCGCTCTCAGAGCCCATGGCGAGCTTCTCAGGGTTTTGATCCAGTGACTCTGATGAAAAAAAACACACTTTTTGGAGAGAGACGTCCCAGGTAGAGGCTGGAAAGTGTCCCTCGCGCTCAACTTGTTGCCGGCACAGCCATTCAAACTTCGGTGTGCAGGAGTTTCAGATCCCATCTGAATATTTTGGGATCAAAGGAATCTTCACAGCCAATCGCTTGGATTCAAATCGTTCCCTTTCCCAAGCGCGCGGAGACAACTGACCAGCGTGAAACCGTGAGCGAGCTTGAGTCGCTCGATCTCCCGTGAATGCAAGAAAAGAACGCTGGATTGAGTGCTCGCATACTCTTCTAGCCCATAGGCCCATAGGTCTTCAAATTTTGTACGTTTAGCTTTTTGAAGCCATTGGACCATGCTTTTCAATGTTCTCTGCAGTAAAGTTTAAAGGGTGCTTTTGAGGATCGGCTTTATGGCTTTCTGGGCGCATTTTCACTTCCTCGCATCGGTGTTGACTCCCCCCCCCCATGTGACCCAGGACAGGTCAGTGCATCGTCTGTACACGCGGAATTCGGATCGTCTGTACACGCGGGACCGGATCGTCTCTGCACGCGGGCCTTTTTTGCCCCGGATCGTTTGTACACGCAGTGCTTACTGCTATGCACAAGAAGGGACAGGGGCGTTGACAGCTGCATGTTTCCTTGCCTTTCTGTCGTATGAACATAGGAAATGTTGTGTTCCGTTGTCTCCTGTGCGGTTTACCTCTGTCAGCCGCTCTCAATTTTGCTCGGGGTAAAGAATGTGGTGTATATGTTCTTGCATTAAAGGTTTGACAAGTCTCTTGCACTTCGTGTGTAAATCAGGGGGACAGACTTTCGCCCGGCTTCGCTTGGTCTAAGGGCGTTTTGTGTTGAGAAGCCCTGTAGGGTAGCCATTGTGCGACCAGGGCACATTTCGACAGAGATGTGGGTTCAGGTTGTGTGAAAGTTTGTAGCGTCTGCGCACGTGAGCGGGCGTGCTTATTAGGTGGGAGGCGTGGGTGCAGTGCTGGGCGTGCGCGCGCGAGCAGGTGTCACCCCAAGCCCACCCCACCCCCGCCCCACCCCCACCCCACCCCACCCTCATCTGCTGCACGTCAGCGGGTGCGCTTACTAGGTGGCAGGCATCTGTGCAGCGTGGCTACTAGGTGGTAGGCGTGGATGCAGTGCTGGGCGGGCGCGCGTGAGCGGCTGTGCCCCACCCCACCCCACCCCAACCCCCCCACCCCCGCCCGCCCCTCCCCAAGACCCCACCCCGTCTGTTGCGCGCGAGCGGGTGTGCGCTAGGTAGCAGGCATGCACGCAGTGCTGGGCGGGTGCACGTGAGCGGGTGCGCTTTTTAGGTGGGAGGCGTGAATGCAGTGCTGCGCGAGCGCGCGTGAGCAGGTGCCCCACCCCGGGACCCAACCCCCACCCCCACCCCCACCCCCACCCCACCCCCCCTCCCCAATACCCCACCCCATCTGCTACGCGTGAGCGGGTGCGCTTGCTAGGTGGCAGGCATGTGCGCAGTGCTGGGCGGGCGTGTGTGAGCGTGCCCCACCCCACCCCAACCTCCCCAAAGCCTGACCCCAGCCCAGCCCACCCTGAGCAGGCGCTCATTAAGGCGGCAGGCATGTGTTGCACGTGAGTGTGGCAGGCATGCGTGCAGCGTTGGGCGGGCGCCCGTGAGCGGGTGTGCTTATTCGGTGGTAAGCGTGGGTGCAGCGCTAGGCGGACGCGCGTGAGCGGGTGTGCCCCACCCCGCCCCGCCCCAGCCCCCACCCCTACCCCCCCTTCCCCAATACCGCACCCCATCTTAGGTGGCAGGCATGTGCTTACCATTCCCCCGCCTCCCCACCCACCCCCCACCCCTTCGGGCTACTCTTCCGCATGCGTGGAAACAGCGCTGAGCGGGTGCACTTGAGCGGGTGTGCTTACCATTCCCCCCTCCCCCCCACCACCCCCCCCCCCCCACAGTGCTGAGCGGGCGCACTTGAGCGGGTGTGCTTACCAATCCCCCCCCCCCACCCCCCCACCCTGCCAAAAGTGTGTGTGTGTGTACAGATGAGCCAGATGACAGAAACCTTGTGTGCGCAGATGATCCAGAGTGCATGGCGCAATAAGTGAGGAAAGCCTGTGTGTACAGATGATCCAGATTTGTGTGCGCAGATGATCCCCTGCCCCCCAGGACAGGAGCAGCTGCTGGGCAAGGCATGGCGGGTGGAGGTTAGAGCCATTTGCTGAAGAAGCAGTGACCCTGGGTTCTCGATATTTCCGCTTGTGGCAAACCTCACCTTTGCGAATTCAATGATAACTTGATGAGCTTCCACAAATGTGGCATCCATGTCTAAAGGGTTGATATAGCCCTGAACTCGGATGTCCTGCGGAGCTTCCGTGAACCCTTGCTGCGCGGATTGGAACATAACCTGCGCAGCAAGCTCCGCCCCTTGCCGGGTTTCTACCACTGAAATGGCTTCATGCCTCTTCGGTGGAGAGCAAGCGGGAGGTTGCGATGCTGTTGGATTCTTTCGGGACGAGTGGCGACTTGCAAGTCGAAGCTTTGGCAACCGTGGGAACACGGTTTGAATAGCGACTGATTGGGTCCCCAAAAGCTTGAACTTGGAGAAAGGCATGTGGCCTCCACCGAATTCGAACTTGGGCGGACCTTCGAGGAATACTAGAAGGCCGTGCAGAGAACTATGAGCTGCTTCCCTTGCCTTGCTCGGACGACGTTGCCTGTCCAGACCCACAAGAAGCAAAACTCAGACCATCTCAGACCCAAGTAAATCACGAAAGACAGGGTCAAAAAGAGGGGCCTTTCTTTGGACGTCCCCCAAATAGGCTTGCACTCTTTGGCAATCGCCCCATTCCTTAGTTTTTGCGGCGCTTCGACTCCAAGTCACAGGTCTGACTTGCCACAATGAAGGGCTTTGTGCCGCCAAACTGTCAGTCGCACCTCTTTGGTGTCGGTTCCAAATTTGCTGTACGGCTTTCGAGCAGGGCGCACCCAAATTGTTTCCTTCTAGCCCAACATTTTGCCGGCGTTGCATATGATGGTGGTACTTACCAGCGGAACACCCAACATCCTTTTCCCAAGCTGTTCATCCCCAAACAACTTGGTAGAAACAACATCAATTATTGACCCCGCCCTTTTGTCCTCACTTCCTGCGTTCCTGGGCTTCAAGTTTTCTGGGCTTGGCCATTTCAGTGGTAAATAATAGGCTCCAGGACTGTTTTTGGCCAATCCACTCGATCGGAAGTGAGTGTCAGGGTGCCCTGGGCGCTTTGGCCATGGGTCAAAATCCAACCGTACCCCCAGCGAACATCGCAATCCCCTCTAAAGTGGGTGGTGCAGCTACCCCAAAATGGTATCCCAAAACGGGTTTTGACAACCACGGCCATCTGAAGCCGGAAGTCGCTCCGGGCACGACTGCAGGTGTGCAGCCTGCTGCTGGGCCTGGACGACAAGCTGGGCCGCATCGCAGCGGCCCAGGACGGATTCGGCTCTCGCGGATGGGGTTCGTTTCCGATGCCCTCCCCACCAAATGTGGAGCCTGACATTGCGGGGTTTTGCCTCCTAACTGCCAAAACACCAATTTTGAGGGAAGCTGAGCACCCAAATAGCTTTGCTGGTTGGAGGAAGCCAAGCGGTCGACATATGCTCTTCCCGTTCTGACAAAGTCCGACCCATCCTGGGTTCGGAACCCCCAGCTCTGCGGGCTGTGCTCACTTGCTTAGAACTCTGTCCTATTGAAGAGGGACTCCAAGATCACCTTTCACGATGTGCTGAACAGCGAAAAGAACTGATCTCGATTTGGGGGGCACGACCTACGTTAAACGGAATCCAAACCACTTTCGGGGGAAACACCCGGTCCACATGGGATAGTGTTTTTCGGATCCTCGGCAAATGAGAACTCATGACCTAGGGCAGTCTTGACCATTTGGCATAAAAAACATCACGCCATGGTCACCTGCAAAGGTCCAAGTACTGCTTCTGCTGCCAAACCAAACGCTTCGTCTTAAGGCGAACTTCTTCCATGTAGCAGTGCGGCCCATCCTTTTCGGGTGGCCCACACGAAAAGCCCTGAAGAAGGGTCCAAAAACCCAAACATGCCCTTGGTGGCTCCCAGCCATCTCTTAGCCTTTTAGCAACTTTTAGTGTTTAGTGGTAGTTTCCATTTTACCCACTAAAAGTTAAACTTGTAGCGCAAGATCTGAGGGCAGCCCAGCGCCCAAAATCGGATCTGGCCAGGAAAGGCTAGAAGAGACCATGCAGCGTGGCGGCGGCGGCGGTGGCAGCAGCGGAGACTCTTTTACTGCAGGGGCGCCCGCAGCATCGCCCGGCCTGTCAGTTTGTTTGGACACAAACTGCAGTCACCTCTCATTCTTGTTGTTTTTGTTTTTTGTTTTGTTTGGTTTTCTCGGCTCCTCGCCTTTTTAATGGTGTCTTGACGCTAAAGCTGCGGACCTGCGCGATCGCAACTGGCCGCTCGCCAGTGCTTCCGCAACAGTTGCTTTACTGTTGGTTTTTAGGGTTTGGGTGGGCTGTTCGCAGCCAACCTGGCTGCGGAGCTGAACCGTTGCTTTTCTTTGCGAGTTGGACTTTTGTGCCACCACATGTTGGCAGCTTTTCGCAAATCCACGAACCAAATTGCTGGTGCAGTTTCTCTATCAATGCCTATCTGGTCACACTCGAAAGCTGAGAGGCTCGCCGGTCACCCGAAAGCAAATGAAATAACAAAACACGGGAGGATGCCGAATGATTTCATTTGACATGTATATATATATATGTATACACACTATAAGATGTGTGGTTTATGTGATTATGCTTTATCAACAGCCTTTGGGGACCCTGAAAAACATCCCAAATGCATGAGTGTCTCACGTGTACAGCTCGAAATACTCGCTGTACTTTGCTCAAGAAAACAAAGCGCGCTAACAAAGCGCGCTTCAGTCATTGTTGACCGATACTGGGCTTTTTGCCTAATCTACAGGTCATCAGACGTAAGCGGCTTAGCGTGCAGAATCGCGGTGGATGTGGAATTGCTCGTTCAGCTTCTCTGCAGACTGTGCCTTGGTGACTGACGACTGGATCACCAACAAGGTTCTCATCTACTACGCCGACGATGCAAGTGCCGCAACTTATGCCGGGACCAACCGGATGTATGTCAGCTTGAGGCGGAACTACCAGAAGAGGATTGCGGACCTCAAGGAGAGCCACGAGGATGGGGACACAAGCATCACCGTTGTCAAGTCCTACATGACTAGCATGGACGAAGAATGCAGAGTGACCTACAAGCAGTGCTCCAGAAAGGCACGCCGAGAGATGTCCGTGCCATGTATCATTGGTGCCGCAAAGAGATTTCATGATGTCAGAGACGAGAATTTGCCAGGAAATCGTCGCATCTCCCTCGACTTTGAGGTTGCCCGATACGCCCTGCAATTGGAACTGGGCACGGGCCGTGCAAACACAGCCCGGAGAGACCCGTGGCCGAAGTGGATTGGCGCATTCTCTCGACGCCAACACAGGGCAGAGCACGAGCTGGCGCTTTGTTGAGATTGCGCATGCTCCTGAAGAAGAATGCCCGGTGCCATCGGAACCCTTAGTCCATGTGTCACAATCAACTGCTTACACTCCTAGAAGTCGCGCGGGTTCGCGCAGATCGGCGTCCCCCTAACCATGGACATGCAAGGCGAAAAGGCTGGCTGGGTATCATGAAAGACATCGCCAAGAAATCAATCAGTGAACAGGAGCAAAAAGTTTGCCCAACGCTCTGGAATTGATCGAGAAGATGGCGAGGAGTATCATTCCCTCTATCGAAAGAACCGGAAAACTCCCAAGGCTCACACCACCTCGACCGGAGCCACAGTTCACAGTTGCGGCCACCAGCTTCCCGGAGCGATGGGATCTGAGTGTCAGCAGCATTTCGACGAACGATAGGAGTTGCGCAAGGATCACCTTGTGGCGCTGGCAAGGCCGAAACTGATCCACCCCGTCCGCCATGACAGACAAAGATGTCACCAGCAATGGATGCCGCCTCGCGAAGCGATGGCCTATGGAAGCGTGTCCATCCCCGGAAAGACCTCGTGCTACATGGGCTGGCTTAAATTTATTAACATCATCCCTGAACATCTGTTTTCAGGGGACACAGGGCGTGTGGTTTACGTGATGATATGTTATCAGCAGCCTTTGGGCGCCCTGAAAACAATCCCAAATGCATGAGTGTCTCGTGTGTACAGCTCGATATTCTCGCTGCGCTTGGCTCAAGAAAAACGAAGCGCGCTTCAATCAGTGTTGAGCTTTTCTGGGCTTTTGGCCCAACAATAATATTATATATATATATATACATATATATATATATATTCATACAGGTCCACACCTACATATTGTTTGAAGATGGTATACTCAATCATATCGCCATTTCCCATATTTGCCGGTTTGGGGTTCATTTGACATATTTTCAAAATTTGGGAATCTAGCGATCTGCTCTGGCGATTCGCAAGCCGAGGCTCGTGGGGGAACGGCGCCTGTGCCCCGCGCTGACCTGAGCAGTGGGGGTGGGGGGTCGGGAATCTAAGCGGGTGTCTGCCGCCAAGGTGTGGAAGGAGGGAAGCAGACAAACAGAAGCTGAATCATGTTGACTTCGGATTAATCCGGCGTACCACACATCAATGGTTTCCCTTGTGAAAGAGTCATCTACTTTTGCATTGCAGCCGCTGGGTGCGGTAGTACTTTTTTCTCCGAAGACGCATTCGCCCAAGGCTCTCTGAAGCAAGATGAAGAGCGAAGACAAATCCCAAAGCCGAAGTCCGCCCGGAAGCCGAATTCTACCCCAAAGACGAATGTCCAAGACGAATTCCCAAAGACGAATTCCCACCCGAAGACGAATTGCGAAGACGAATTCCAAACTCCCACCCGAAGCCAAATTCCCCCCGAAGACGAATTGCGATGTGAAGACGAATTCCCTGAAGCCAAGGTCCCTCAAGACCGCGAGTTCCCCTCCTGAATGCTGTTGAGTAAGCATGCTGGCAGCGAGCGTTCGTGGAAATCTCGCCCCCTTATCGCAGTAGATGCTTGTGTCAAATGATGTCTTTCTGATTGTATGCCTCTCCTTGCAGGAAGGCAGTTTTCAGATCGATTTGACTGATCGTCCTTCTGTCTTGGAAGTTTTAGAGGAGCCATCGAGCCTTGGTCTTCAGGAAGTTACTGTGCTTGTAACCCATCCTGAGCAAGATCTCGAACTTTGATGTGCAGCTGAGACACTCCGAAGTACTTCTTGAGCGCGTTCTTAAGTTGACTCCCTCTTACTCTTTTTGTCGAGCCCCTCTCTGAAAAGGTTGGCGTCTCCCGTTGGTCTGCTTCTGAGGAAAGGTCCGCTTCTCTCTCACTCCACTGTTGTGTGTGGCGGAGCTGGAAGAAATTCCTTCGGCAACCTCATTGGTGAGGTATCGCGAGCTTGTGACCAAAATGCAAGGCCTCCGCGCCTGGTCCCCCGCAACATCTTCGAGCGGGAACCCAAGACGCAGCGAATCCTGACCCAGCTGTCTGGACAAGGTTGGCGTTGGCGTTGGGCATGTTGTGCGCAAGGGAGATGGTTGGGTCGATGTCCGCAAAGGAGGGCGTGTGCGAGGTGGAGGTGTGTGTGTGTGTGGCTCGGGAGACCAACTACTGTCACATTGTGGCAAAGCCCGGCGCTAGGGGCTTTCACCACATGTTAGACATGGCCTCTATTCGTTGCGGTAGACTGCCGCACACCTGAGCTATTCCGAGTAGGGGCAGCGCGACATGCTGGCAATTAGCGCATTCCCTTAATTTTACTTCTTTATCCTTCTTCTAGGGTGTTGCCCCGTCTGAGGAAGAATCCGGTCCCTGACAATTCTTGAAAGCACGCAAACAATGCGACAGTTGGCATCGTACCTAGAGATCAAAGTTGGGCAACATCTTCATACGAGAAGAAGGCCTGCAAACAAGTTTTGCCGAGAGACTCGTTCATTCTTCTGAAGCTATTCTTTTTGCTTGGTGCTTGAAAGTATCAGCAGGAGTCGGCGCAACACACCCTTTAAGCCTACGTGGCGGCTATGGGCTCCCATTGTGGGCACCGTGCGGGTTTGATCATGTTGCTTGATAGCGCACGGGAGCGCAAATTTTCCATGCTTTCTAGCAGCCATCTATCATTGTAATTGCGCGCCTTTCGGCACCGAAAGCCGACATTCAACATCAAGCCACAAAGCTTGTGAGACCTCCAAGCACACCACAGGCTTGAAAGTTGAAACCAGCCACGCATGCGCACAATTTGCGTAAATGAACAAACACCGCTTGCCTGCTGGAGTCATGACAGATGCAGCTCGGAAAAACAGAAAACACATATTGGCAAGCAGGGCCGCTACATTGATGACAATAAGACGCTGGCCTCAGAAGCCGTTTGCTTGAAAAGACAATGGGCTTCTGGAAGCTAGCGGCTATAGGCTTTTCTGAAACGCAGCCCTTACCGTTTTATGTTGTCCTGCAATAGCAGAGAACAACACTTGGCTTGCGCATCAATCGCCATACCTGCCAGAATCTCTTGCGCACCATGTTGCTGGGGCTGGAGTTCTTCAACTCCTCTGGCTTGGACATGGATTCTGCGTAGGGCAAGAGGAAGTGTTGGCTCATCAATGGATGGCGCAATGGGATGTGTCTGAGAGGTCGGCCAGCCCTGTCTGTTGCTGACCCTGCCTTGGGCATGCAAAGCAAGATGGTCGTGTAAGCAATCAATGCCTTCCGAGGCGTGTTGGGAACATGAGTGAGCTGCTTGTTCTTCTTGTCAAGAATCCAGTGATCCTGCCTTTGTGATCCAATGATCTTGGGAATTGGTGTGTCCTCTTTGGATTCGGATGGCTTGGGAGAACTTGATGCTATTGTTGCTATCGTGGACATGGTTGTTGGGGATTTTCCCAGAGCATGTGCGCCTGATACTGGAACTGTTTGGCGGTCTGCGCCAAAGGCCAGGTGATCTTGTCACACTGTGGAGTGTTCTCAATGGTCATGTGCAAGTTCCTCATGTAACCAGAGGTGTTAGTACAGGCCTTGTTCAAGGATGTCGATGTTTGTGCGGAGGAGTTGTGTGGCACCTTAGGCGCCAGGTCCCCTTGACTTTGACTGTCTCCCTGTTAGCAAAATGTGTGTGTGAATTGCGCAATTGCATGCCAACCTAGTGCGTCCGCTGTGATTGGTCGTCACTGACAGGTTGTGTGCAGAAACTGTATCGCTTGGAGCAGCTTCTTGTTGGTGGCGTCAGCGTTCCTGATGTTGCAATGCACCGTGACTTGCCATCAGATTGAAAATATGTCCTATCCTAGTCTTTGTCACCCCAGCCAGCATATCAAGGCCTTGGATTTATGAAGGATACGGGAATCCCGATTCTCTTTTTGAAAGGTTTGTCGTCGGAGACCACCTTGTTTGCTTCTTGATGTTCCTTTCCTTTTTCCAAATCTTAGATTGCCCCCCACCTTTCTGGTGATGAACGCGTCGTTTTTCCTTGAGGGCCCAGAATGTCTCCTCAGCTTCTGCTGCGACGAACCCTTCATGTCCATCATCATCTTCAACCCAGAAACCTTCTTCCCCTTCATACTCTTGTGGAGGATGTAGAAGGTGGCGTCGGGGAATGCGGCGTCACAATGCGGCGTCAGCCAAAATATCGCGCCAGAGAATGGCGTCGGAATGCGGCGTCGTCAGCAGGGAATGCGGCGTGAGGGGGGGAATGCCTCGTCAGGGAATGCGGCATCAGGTAAAGCACTGGCCCTCGCCCTGTAGTAGGGTCCTCCGGATGAATCCAAGATTGCAACGTTTATACCGTGGCTTTCTGCCAAATGCCGAGAGATCCCAAGAAGGCGCGAACAAGGGATAGTTTTTTTTGGTGAAGCTCGGAGAACAGCCCTTGGGCGCCTGTCTGTGGCGTCTCACCTGGGATTTGGATTTCAACTTGCCATTCCCCTCGCTTCCCAGGGAAGGCCCCAGGCTACTGAGTTGGTTGTGAAGGTGAATTTCTCTCTTCGCACCGGGTATATACCGAGCAGTGTTTTTTGTTTTGGGAGTCTTGCAAGATTTCGCCCGGTGGCAACCACACATTTACAACGTCTTGGTTGCCAGTTTGAGCCGAGATTTCTTTTTGGAAGCGATGTTCAGACATATAGGCGACTTTAGGACGACTTCAGCATTGCTGGGATGGATTACAGGGATCTATCATTTTTGCCGGTTGCCTAGGTGGAAACTTGGTGGCTCCTCCTGGGAAAACCAGCTACAGCGGCCCGCTGGGGGGGGTGGGGGGAAAGCCATGGGCTGGGGCTTGGGACGGAATGGCCTGTGGGTTGCTTTTAGCGATAACCAGACCTCCGGGGGGTGAAGGGAGCAAGACCCTTCAAAGTCAGCTACGACAACATGATTCCAAACCCATTTTTCGCATGGCTAACAATGATGATCAGAGTCATAGACTGATAGCTCCGGTGTTTGGAGGAGACTCACTTTTGTGGTACCCATGTTTGTGTTTCATGCTTCGAAATGGCTGCATATGTTTGATGACGTGTGCCCATGAGCAGTGACCTTCTTTTTTCCCGTTGGCTGTGAATCCTCTAGTGGAGCCACAGTTGCCACGGCTCAGTCTCACGGTGCCATAGCTTAGGGGTCCCCATTTTCTGGCAGCGGTTTTCTTCATGCTAAACATTGTGATGTTTTGGTGGGAAATCTACGGAACCTTCCAACCCGCCCATTGAAAGAAGCAGAATCCGTTGAGCTTGTTGGCTTTTGTGCCGAAGGCCGCTGTGGTGAAACCACCGCAGCTCCAGAAGCTCCAACGGCTTCGGCTGCGCCCCTCTCATTTTCCCAGCGAGCAAGAGCAAAACACGCCACGGGCCGGGTACCGAGTGCGTGAGTGGCTGCCCCTAGGTTTCTCGGCTTCCGGGCCTCGGCCCCAAACGTCAGGACCCAGTCAGCAGAAGCCCAGGGGCGCCTTGTGAACCCCTCGCGGTCCGCCAGGGCCACTTGGGCCCAGCGCCGCCGCTGGCCCCAGCCCCGAGGACTTGGCGACTCGCGAGTCACTTGGGAAGACCGCGAAGTGAGACACCCGCCAAAGGTTTTTCGGTTTTTCGGGGGGTGTTTTGCTTCTGGAGCCAGGAATTTGCACTGACAACATTTGGCAAGAAGACTGGACTTTTTCAGATTTCGTTCAAGATTCGAGGCCCGTTTGTCCTCAGATTCCCTTCTTTTCTTGGAGAGGGTTGCCGACAAAACATTGAAGACCAAAAGAAGGACAAACATTGAAGACCAAAAGAAGGGGCCCTTTTTTCCCCCTGACCGGACAATGGCGGGGAATGACTCCCTTCAAGATTGTGGCATCCTCCCCCAAAAAAACTCTGACCCACTGATCCAAGCAAACAATCTGATCCAATAGGTTACCAAAAAAGCAGGTCTCGGTCGAATCCAAGACCAACCCCTTCTTGGAGGGTTCAAACAGCAGCTTCTGGAAGTTGCAAACTTGCTCCGGTTTCCCCTTGGTGGTGATGTCTAAAGGCTGGAAAGAAACGGACTGGCCTTGCCAAAGAAAGGTTCTCTTCCACAAGAGGTTGAACAAGCTGTCATTGGGTGGTCTTGGTGAACACAAATTAAATTGAGACTGGGTCAAACTATCCGGTATGTGGTTCATGGCAGCACTGGGGACTCCTTACATTTTTTTTTTTTTTTAAATAGTAAAACAAAAAGCAAAAACATCTTTTTGTTTTTTTGTGTGACCATCATTCTTGCAGTTCAGCGTTCGATGTCGGCCACATGCCCGGCACGTAGCTTCCGTCAGGGGTCCTTTGGGCCGAAAGCTGGGGTTGGAAGCTCCCACCAATTAACCTTGGGCACTGAGAGAAAGGTCCTGGTTTGGACCGTCTTCCTTTAAAAGGCACCCCCTGTCAGGTTCCAACTTAATTGGTGGGGGGGGTAGTTGCTTTTGCTTTCGTGTCCATGATGCGGATCCCTGGAAGCTGGAAACAATGCCAAAACGGCACCAAAGCCACCACGCACCAGCAACTGCCGAGCAGCCATCCCAAAGCGCCAACAAGACTGTGACCACCAACACAATGCCACCCCCTCCAACAAAAACACACAAAGACACACAATGGCATTAACACACCAAACACACAAGCACACCACCCACAAAAAAAAATCACGCCAAGATCTGGCGCCCAACCCCAAGGTTCGAGTTCCACGCCTAGGAGCAGCGCTTGGCACAGGAGCGCCTGGCCGCGGCCGGGAAGCCAAAGCGCCCGGCTGAACAGCGGGCGTCGGGCGTGGGGCGTCGGGTTTTTGGTTGGTCAGCCGCACACAAAAGGGAGCTGGCCGCCTTTGAGGAGCCAAAGGACCTCCACTTGCTTGAACAATTCAGGGGGGGGTTTGGGTTTTGCCCCCCCGACTCTTGTTTGGGTTTGGGATGGAAAGACACTGTGTCACCTGGGGGCTCACTTCTTCGCGGGTTTTTGGGTCTCTGCGCAGATTCGTGGCTCGGATGAAGGTTAGTAAGGGAGAATCCCCTTGCCGTAAATGTGTGCAGTCGACTTGTTAAGTGTTTACATGGTTCTGGGTAGATCATTTTAATACCAGGTTTTGATTGTGACTCAAAGGTGTGCGCCGTCCAAACACTTGGTTGCTTGAACAGGGATGGTCTGCAACCCTGTGTGGAAAGTGAGGATTTGACCGCCACCCGCGACTGCTCTTCCGGGAAAATAAAGGGGCAAAAAACAGGTGCACACAACCTCTAAGGGTCCACTGACTTCCTCCAACGAATCGGACACCCTGCTCGTCCAAGGCACACAGTTGCGCACCTCCGTTCCCCAGACTCACAACTCAAAAGATGGCCAAAGGCAGGCCACAAGAGTTCGGCACGTCTCGACCAGCGTGGCCCTGGCCGGCTTGGGGGATGGCGGGTGGTCACACGGCAGAGCGTGAAGATGAAGCCCGAAGCAGAGATCTGACGGAAGACGGTAGCTCTTGATGAAAGTGTGGCACTGGGACTGATGAAGCAAGGCAATATGTGCAGCCGATTCATTTTCGGCGGTTGTGATCTGATGAAAACCAGCAAGATGATGTGACTGCTGACAGTGGTAAAGGTCGCCATCTCATTGACAAGCTCTACGTTTCGACTTTGCAACTTTGGTTTGAGGAGTGAAAAGACCGTAGGCGTGTCAGCAACACACTGTTGAACTCAACAATAAACTAAGGTTGGGCAAGTAGTGTGCACAGTAACACACATCTTCGCCGCGAACAGGGGTTTACACCATACAAATAGGGGCCTTATTTTGAGATTGACCGAGAAAAGCATGCTGTGGCTGGACATGTTCATAGGGCTTCACCCATCCCAACTGGTGCGGTGGATCTTGTAACCATCCACATTTTATTTGTCGAGCCATGGTCAAAGCTCCTTTGGCTGTGGGTCTTGGTGTGTCCCTGTTTTGGAATCGGACCCCCAAGAAACGGCGCAACTCCCCAGACCAACCAACCTAAATGGACTCCTAAGTAAACTCGGTGGGTTAAATGGACATCCCCACTAAACACCAAAAAAGCGAACAACCGAAGGAGATGGCTGGGAACTACTAAAAGTTATAAACCTTTTGGTGAGGGATCTGAGGACGGCTTGTTTCGGAGGGCGCCGCCTCCAATCCCGCAATATCCTCGGCAACATGGCCGTGGTTTCTGGCACCGAAGTCTCCATACTGTGGATGGACGAAATCCTGCACCACGTTGAAACCAGAGGAACCCAATGTTGGTATTTACAGGGGAATCATCATTCCAAGGTTTCTTAGGTAGTGCAGGATTTCGTCCATCCACAGTATGCCTAGAGAGAAAGAAAAAGAGGACGGCCCGGTCAATTCCTCCAGGATCGTTTGCGCATGGAGGAGGAGAACCGACGCCGAGCAGAGGAACCGAGTTTGGGAAACTGGTTTGGAAGCAGGCTGAAGGGTCTCATGTGGGTATGGCTCAAAATTGAACCACCAGAGGACCGCAGGTTTAGTCCAGGTTTCCATTTACCAGGGTTTCTATTTTAGGTGTCTATTTTTGACCCACAGTCATGTGGGCGTTCTTCTCTTTAGGAATCGGACCCTCCCCCCCAAATTGGCTTCGGTTTTTCTTCGGTTTTCTTTTAAAGCCACAAAACGGGGTACCCCTACAAAAGACACACCCATGTGTGTCTCAGTTGCCCAAAAACTCTTTGACCTTTTGGTGTTCTTGTTTTGGCCCATTTTTAGTGGAGGTGTGTGTGTGTGTGTGTGCGCACATGTTTTGGGATATCACCTTTTGGGTTGTTTTCAGGCAATCCTTAGGTTTGGATTGGTTTGGGAATTTGAACCCCTCTTGGTAGCATCCGATTTTTCGGCTCGGGTTTCTAGACTGAGAATCCATTCAACACCCAGGCCCAACCCAAGCAACCCGTGCGTGTTTTTTTTTTGGGCAGCCTCCTTTTCCGGTGTTTTTCCTGTCGGGGTGGTTTCAAACATAGCCTAAACCAACGGGTCTCATAATGATGTGACGCTTGGTCAACACATCAAGTAGTCTATGGCCAAATTGGGAAAGACAGAGAGGGATTCTTCCCAGAAATACCAGGGGACTCACTCATTGAAAAAGCATGGTCCTCAACAAATAGCGATGTTTTAAACCACCCGCGACTCGGGACGAGGTGAAAATGATAGGACTCCTCGCGATCATGGAAGCGTGCATTTTGGACAGTCATGCCCCAGAGGAAAGGAGCAGCTTGGCAACATTTTGGTTTGACCCAACCAACCTGTCAACCTGTTGGACGATTATTTGTCTTTCCACTCACCAGCACATATCTGTTGTTGCAGAGGGGGTCAAAGATGTCTGATCAGTCTAAGAGGTGACTTGGATAAAAGCTGTCCCATGGCCTACGCTGGAAGGCAACGAATGCTTGGCACAGACCATTCGAGCCTTTGGCCTTGGGAGTTGGGGTTTCGGGCCTTATACTTCTTTTCTCGCTGAGGGCATCCTCTCATTTCATCCACTGTTGTTGCCTCCGGGTAACACTCAAGTTGAACCTGAGGTCTCACAATAAAAAGAACCGTGGGCCAACAAACATTGACAACAGTGTTTTCTCAGCTAGAATTCGAGTAAAAACAGGATTCAGGCAATGCAGCAACTGGATCAGTCGTCTAATGGACAAGGCGTCATTGTTGTGAGCGACTGTCGCTTGACACACATGTCAATAGTGGTGCGACTCCACCCTGGTTCGTTTCTGTGCTTCTTTTTCTCTGCTTCCATTTGGCCAGGTCGATGAATGGTTGGGCGTTTCATCTTCAGGTACGGAGATAACGAAATCGAGGGCACAGGCCCTTGCCGAAATCCACTGGCATCGGACCGGACAGCGTCCCATCGGCTTTCATTGATCGAGGGTGTTCGTCTCAAAATTGAAACGGGTGGTTCCTTGGGTTTCCCCCTTTAGAAACCCATCCAAAACGGCCGCCCTCAACACAGGAGCCTCTCATACTGATAGGGGCGCTTCGTTTCTTTTTGGAGGGTACCCCGAATGCTTTTCTCCTTTTGGTTTCCCCAAAACCAACCAACAAGAGGTTCGCTCGAAAACAACAAGCCACGCGTCCATATCTCTAGGGGCAGGGATCCTCTTTCTGGAAAACCACCCAAAACCCTGGGGAAATGGATCTGACTTTTGAAAAGAAGGATGGCTGAAAAGAGTTGACAAGGAATCAACCCCTAGAGAAATGGAATGAGCCCAGGCTTTGGTCTTAAAGGAAACCGCCACCAGTTGGATGGTTCTATGGATCAACCGCTCGAATATCCCGCAGGAGCTGGCCCGTAGACGCGAGGAGGACGAGCGCCGCAAGCGCGAGGCGATGGGTGGGGGGTCGCCTTTCGTGCGAACGGCGACGTGCGTTTGCATGAAGTGCGTTTGGGGTGTACATTTTTTTTTTGGGGGCGGGTTAAAGGGAAACCAAAAGGAAAGCGGAAGCCATTTTGGAGGGGTCCCCTAAAACGGCTTGAAGTGCCCTCCCCACAATGGAGACGCCTTGCCCATGACGGTTGGAAGAGGGTACTATAGCTCAGGTAACCCTCGGTTTGGTGGTTTGGATTAGTGGTTTGGGGATTTGCACCCCCAATTCTTGTAGGGGGTAAATGGGAGACCCCTCCGGAAGACCGCCACACCACTAATCCAAACCACCAACTGGAGGGAGGCTGAGATTAACATTCCGGGCCCAAACAAGCGGCCCGGCCCTCCACAAGAACGTTCCTCCAAGGATTTATTTTGTCGCCCGGAGCTTATCCTCGCCCCCGCGCCACATCTCCATCGCCAGTGGGTGGTCGCACAGGGCCATGGCAAAGTAGTGGTTCCGTGTAAATCTTCCTGGGTAGAATGGGGTGGGTAGTCACCAAACCCCGTCGTGTCTGCAATTCTGAAACCTCTTGCACCCTCTCAAGAGTGGATTCAGTGAGCATCCCTTGAAGATCTCAGCCCCACGCTTGTCAAATCGCAAGCCTTCCTTTTCCAGGCCTCGCGCGTCCGAGTGGCAGTTTTCTAGGGGGAGAGGCTATCCGAGTGGCGAGGCCGACGGCTGGTTTTGAAAGGAGGACAAATTCTGCAAACGGGTCTGTCTTGTACCGGGGTCCGGTATCCCTTTTCTTGTAGTTTTAAGTGGGTCCCCCCAAAAGAGTCACACCCAAATAGGGTCGCAAGAATCGCCCCACTCCTTCCCCCAATTCATTGGTGGTTGTCCTTCAGCACTCTTGAGTTTTCCCTTGGAATCTCAATCGTGGGACCTGTGACATGATTTCACGTTTGAAGGTTCAGCACACCGACAATGCCAACATCGGGGGCAACAGCTGAGGTTGTGCTTCGGAAGGCTCAGATTCACATCTTTGGATTCTTTCAAGGCTTGCGGGTTGGGGTGCACCTCTAGCCCATGGTACGATTCCCCTTTCAGTTGGCTTCGGTTTGACCATTCGCCATCGATCTTTCCATCGCTTTATCGTACTGGGTATGTTGGTGCGCTGGAGGGTATTACTTGCCATTGGAGTCCTGGTCTCTGTTTTCCAAGCAGAGACAACGAATGGCTTCGGTTTTCCTCTTGGTTTCCCCTTAAAACCGCTCCAAAAAATGGGCGCCCACCAAAAACCCACAGACCCAAAGACGCGGTTCGACCCCTGCACTCCACTCGGATTCGGCCCATCCGCTCCCGCTCGGAGTCGCCAGGAAGAGGAGCGCCGGCGTCAGGAGGAAGAGCGCCGGCGCGAAGAGGAGACGGGGAAATCAGGGGCTTTTGCCCGGAAGGGTCAGGCCGCCTTGGGATTGGGATTACTTCAAAAACTAGAGGTCAAAACTTGGATAATTCTGTGTGGGATTCACAGGCCTCTTGAAACCAACCAAGGAATTTGCTGCTTTAGTTCGCTTTGAACACCTGGACTTGAAATGTGAACTTCCCAGCTTATCGCTGCAGTGGTTATAGCCACCCTGCAACGACCCTCACGGGGCCCGAACCAACCTTGGCAGCTCCCAGCCCGCGGTTCTTTTTTGCATTTGAAAGGGATTTCGGACACATCCCGCTGGCTTCACTTTTGGCAAGGGATGAACGAATCAAGGGAGAGACTTCATGAAAGAAGCCAACACTTTGGCAATCTTGGTATCTGGTTCCACTACCTGTGACAGGCCCATCAATCAATACCATAAGGGCTTCGTGACTTGCGAGCGGTCTGAGGGATGGCTTCACAGGCCCCGTGCCTTGCAGGAGCGGTTGCGTAAGGAGGAGCTGGGCAAGAAGACGAGTGGGCTCATGCGCCTTTGGCGTTAAACCGTTGGGTCCGGGAGGGTGCAAGGAGCTGAAGCGTATCATCTCTCCGACACAAACCTGCTCTGCCTTATAAGTAACATTGAACAATGACCGCAGGAATGTTTTTGTTTGTTTTTCTCGCTGTGAGCACTTTTGAACACGTTAGGCGGCCTTTTTGAAGGGGGAACATGTTTCCCAACCCAAAAAACACCACCCTGTCAAGGACGGATAGTGATCATGAAAGGTACCGAGAGAAGGATGAAAGGCGGCCCTTGGCATCTCCCATCCCTTCATCCACCCTTCTAAATCTGCATGTGGACGAGGGCTGGTGATGGATACCTCTCTCCATCACACATCTACTGTATTCCTCCATCTGTGTCTCTCGCTTGGGATAGAAGGATGATTGATGTGCGAGAGAAAGAGATCATCTTTGTTAGGTATTTCTTGGTATCATCCGTTTGGAACAAACAAGTCCAACAGCCTGCATCAGAGGACAGCGCCGCCCTTTTGGGAGGTCACAGGGTTGTTCCCCAAGGGTTTCTTTCAAATGCCGATGAACCAGGCTCCTTCGTTACCAAGGTTGGTTCATGCTAGCCCCAGAGTACAGGTCCTTGCTTGCTCTTTTTGTTTCTGTACACCCGACTTGGTTGGCTGCATAGATGACTATGAACACACTAAGGGTTGGAAAACCGAGCACTCGTGCCCAGGGTCTGTCTTCTTTTCAGGCTACCCGTTTTTCATTGGCGTTTAAAGAGGGTGCCATAAAAAAAGAAAAAAATAACACAACAACAGCGACCAAACAACAAAGCACACACACAACAAAGCGAGACACAACGCCCAAGCGTTCGATGCTTGAGCTGGTGCCAAGGTCCGGGCTTCTCTCGAGCAGCGGCGGCGGCGGTTTGCTGGATGCCCAATGGGGCACAGCGAGCTGAAAAAATGGGGGAATTCGATGGAGGACGATGGTATCTCTTTCGAGTTCACGTTTAGTTTCCTAGTTGGTTTCTTAGTGCGGAACTGGATTTGGCTCCTTTAGGTTCCTTTTGGCAAGTGGGTGAGTGTAGTGGTAGCTCTGAACCCTGTCCCCATTCCGAACCCGAAGAAACCCGTACAAGAAACCCTTCCAAGCAACCAGTCAACCAAGGTTACTGTTCTCGGCGAAATCTGCCGATGTGGGAAACACCCCGGTTTTGGTCTCAGCTTTTTCAGGTAAGCAACTGCCTGACGTATCGCTTCCATTTGGTTAAGAATATGTTTTATTTTACCCTGTTGGTTTTAAAGGGAATCAACCCTTACTGGAATGATTTTGTTTTTTTGCAGGGGACTTAAGCAAATGGAGGATCAGGTGCAACGAGCAAAGGAAAACCAAAAGTAAACCTTCACGGCACTCGCCGGCCGGCTGCCTCGGTCTAGCCGAGGTTCGGGGACGAGGCGGCACCGAAGAGATCCAGCAAGGGCGGGCTCTTCGACGACTGAGGCGGGTTTGGCCCGTTTTTGGCGCAAAGTGGCGAGGGTTTTCCTTTGAGGTACACAACCTGGATCGCCAGTGGCTGCTTTTTTCCATGAACTCTACCCCAAAAACCAGCAACGGCGACTGAAACAGCAGCAACTTGGCTAATCCCTTCCCCCTAATAATAAACGACGCCCCCCCTCCCCCCCCCCCTCCCCCTAATAAAAAAAATACCCGGCCTGCAAAACATTTTTTATTATTAGGGGGTCCCCTGGTTCTGGGGGGCAGGTTTTGGAGGTGCTTCTTGTTCTGTGTAGGCTTGTTTGCAACTGTGGTCCCCCTGTTCCGTTCCGTAAAATCGCTTCAAACGCACATTTCTGAGTAAGGAGCTCTGGCTCGAAAGTCGCAACTTTGTAGTACAACCGTAGTAAAGGAAACGTGCTCCCGGAGCTCTGGCTTGAAAGTCGCAACTTTGTAGTACAGCCGTAGTAAAGGAAACGTGCTCCCGGAGCTCTGGCTCGAAAGTCGCAACTTTGTAGTACAACCGTAGTAAAGGAAACGTGCTCCCGGAGCTCTGGCTCGAAAGTCGCAACTTTGTAGTACAGCCGTAGTAAAGGAAACGTGCCCCCGGGGTCCCCCTAATGGGGCTGGATTTGAGTACGGGCAGGAAAATATCTACTTTAGAATTGGTTTAGTATTGGCTATTCTAAAAGTAGTATTCCCGGATTTGGGACTTCCGAAACAAATATTTATTATTACGGAGACCTTTATGAATAGGGGGAACGGATTATCTTGGAAGCATCTTGGGGGATTTTGGGCTGCCACGGTTTTGGCGTGTTTCTAGGAGAAGTCAGGGATACGAGTCGGGAAAAGGTTCTTGCGCCGAATGCGTGGGGCACAGAAGGGTTGCTTTTACATCCAACCGGGGTGGCTAGCTTTTTGCATTTTTTGTGGGTACCTCTTTTTCGTGGGTGTTAAAAGAACACCAAAAGCAAACCTCACCATTTTGGGGGTCAACGGGGCAATGTTGACGGATCAATCAGCCGAGGGCAAGCCTCTTATCAATCAACCAGAGGTCGCTTCGCCAGCGCCACACATCTCCGCGCGAAGCTCTGTTGTTTCGTTTTGCGCCAGGTGCAGCCTGACCGGCCGGTCCGAAGGTTAGGGGGGCGAGTTGGCTAGGATTGGCAGGTGGCCATCCTTCGAAGTTTTGCTTTGTGACCGCTTGCTTCCAACACCCTGAGGCATGCCATGTAGCCGTCTCGCTTGCAGTCACCAAGGGGCGCCCATTGCTCGCGCCCATGGCAGCGAAAAAAGTCGGCCGGCGGTTCCGCGCAGGGCCAACTAGTGTCAAACCATTGGTTTTATGTTGGTGGGAAACTCCTTTTGATCCCACCCCTCATTTTGGAACAACCCAGTTAGAAATGGCTAGTGGTATCACATAAGTGGCCACCGCCACAGGCTGAGGGAGGAGAGGAGTCTCTGGTTGAGCTTGAGGGCTACGGAAGCCCTGGCAGCGGACAGGGATGTTGTCTCAACCGGAATTCCCGGAAACATTCGGCTCATCTCAGCCTGTGGCACAAATGGAGGGAGTTGAGAGGGGTTTCTGTACTGATGGAGGGGGTGTGAACCATTTCCCGGACGGACATCGCCACGCATCCGTTTCGCGGCAACTCCCGCGTCCGATTCCTTTCGAGTGACCCCGTGATATATGCAGTTCAGAGCGCATCTCGGGGCCCGGGGTGCTTGAGGGTTGGTGCTGCAGAATCAGCTGGTGGCTGGATTAAAAATTCCCAGAAGGTTCTATCCATGGCGCAAAGTGGATTTGGCCCATCCACAGTGTCACTGGTCATGAATCCTTGAATGGGGTTTTGACACCAGTCCTAAGGGACCCTAGCAAGGGAGTTAGTGTAGGGCAACTGGTTTTGACTCACCTACCTGCACACCACTGGCAGCACATATGGTTTTGGCCCAAGCCAGAAAACGGGCCAACATCGGGGGTTTGCTTTGCGGGCTGGCCATTGTGGGCAAGTTTGTTTCAAGAATCAACCCCTGGCCCCCAACGGGAGACAACAGGATGTCGTTTTGGCATGCTTCAGACAGTGACTCTTGCCTCTTCATCCTTCATCAACTCATGAGTTCCCAATAAACATACTTCAACAAGCTGAGCCCGAGGAAAACTCACGATTAAACGGTCCAAGCGTGACCAAGAATTCCAGAATTTATTCTTTACCTTTGGATTGGTCGTCCTTCATGCCTGTTCTCGTCTCTTGATAGCTCTCCATGACATAGAGGCTTGGAAGGGCTGGACAGATATGAAATGAACAATAAAGAGAAGATATGGCAAAGATGATAAAAGTGAAGGATTCCACACGATAATAAGTCAATGCCATCCTCCATGAGTATAACTTTTCTTCCCATCCAGGTCTCAAACTTCAGAAAGCCGAGCCCAAAGTCCGCGGCTCCCGATCCGTGGATCACGGTGAGCCGTTTAGGGCTCGAGGGCCATGACCAAGAAGCGCAAGGCAGGTGCTCGGGCGGTCAGATGGGAGCGATTGGGGGGGGGAGTTGGGCGGGCTACGTAGGCTGAGGGCTTTTGCTCGAAAACAAATCCCAGAATTCGTTCCCGTGCAAAACAACCACACGCCCAAGTCCTGTTGTTGTTTGAAGATGGGTTGCAAGCTCCTTGACCCATGCGAGTGCGACAAGGGCAGCCTTTTTTTGGCTTTGATCGGGCACTTGATATCTTTTTTTTTAGCCCTTGGTGGCTTCGATTAGTGGTGGATTTGAACCCCTAGTTCGTGTTGAGGGTACCAGGGAAACTGTCCCGTAGCCTCGAAACCGCCGGGCACCAAACCACCAACAACAGGGAAGCTGAATTTGGCATCCTGGTGGCAGGTTCTTGCGTGACCACATTGGAAATCGATGATCCAACCTGAAAGATTGAGGTCACTCGAAAGGTCGCAAGCGAGTTCAAGGACTTTCCGAGAGGTACGCCAGATACCTTTCTGCCAGCGAGGTAGAATGTGTGCCACAATCAAACCCCGGGAAAGTGAAGGTTAGTAAGGGACAATCCCAACCAGAAATGGGTGCAGCCGCCTTGTCAATTCCTTACATGGTGCTGGGTAGGCCATTTTTATACCGGGTCTTGATCATGACTCATGCGTGCCAGCATTCCAAGGGTACCGTGGTTATGCCTGGGCGCACGGACCCAATGGGTTCCTATCAGGTTGCAAAGTTTGTAACCTCTGATTTCAAGGAGAAGCAAAAGATGAGGTTCAAACAAAAAAGGTGGCGTCGAAACCCTGTTGGCTTGGCCAAACTCTGGTTTTCCTGTTGGCCCGACATGACCAGAGTATTGGCGCAGGTTCTGTCAAAGACACCAGTGGTCCACATGGGGTCTCAGAATCGGGTTCAGTCAAACCTGGGGTAGACCTAGGATACATTTTACATTTTACCAGTGACTCAAAGTGAAGCAACCAATACCAATAAAATCTACAACTGGGCCTAACTCTACTCATGAAACAATCCATTTCGCACAACCCGATTCTCTACTCTGCCCATGTCCAGTAGGGTACCAAACAGTTCTGACCGTGGCACATGTGAAAGCGCTTTCGCCGTCCAGAGGTTTCGCCGCCCGACGCTCCGTCCAGGCTCAGCTTGCGGTGTGACGCACGCTATGAAGGCAGAACGAAACCAAGCTGCTTCAGCAAAGCTTTACTTCACTCGCGACCTCTAGATCTCGATTTTTTTCTTTTTTGGTGCAACTTTGTATTCCTAATGAAGTCGCAGGTCCCTGCAGCTTGATCACGCAGCCCACACCCAGCAACTTTCGGACGATCCCCCAGATTCCGCGCCCCCGACACGACGCCGTCGGTCGGTCGGCCATGTCGGGCTGATGGCAAATGCTCGGCCCAGGACAGTCCTGGGGTCGTTTGTGCTTCCCTCGACTCCCCAGAAAGGAGACACACGCTTAATGGGTCTGTCTCTTCCTGTTTCTGGGTCCATGCTCAAACTAGACAGCCCAAAAATTGGCTTGGGCATTTGGCGTGCAACTCCCATCCCACTTTGTCGAATCTCGCATGAAACCGCAGGATGAGGCTGCGATGCAGCCAGGCGGGCCGGAGCGAATTGGGTGATGACCGAAGATTCATAGAACAGACCCTACCACCCTCCACTTTGAAGACATTTCCATTTAAACTGCCCTCCCACCAACTAACGTGGCAGGGCACTAAGGCCCTGTCTCTACAGGGGTCTGTGCACTTCCATGTTTGTTGGTGGTAGCTTCCCTTATAACCACCCATTTTTGTGTTGGGGAAGGGTTGTGTTGAGGTGGTTCCGTGAGGTCACTTTCGTCGCCGGCTTCAGCCTCGCTCTGCTGGCGTCCCTCGCTGTCCTTAGGAGCGGAATGTGCGATTCATTCGGGGAGCCGTACTGATCGAGTCTGGGCGCTGGGGATGAACCGTTCTGGGGATTCCCGAATAAAGGAAGCCACCAGTTGGATTGTTCCTGCTGAGAACAAGCCAGCTTAGTTTGTTTGTGCTTTTTTGTTGCTTTAGAGGTGTTGGCAGAAAACGGAGAGCTCCACTTTGGGTCTGCCTTTTTTAGAGGCTCGGTAGCCTGTTTGGGGTTGGGGTTTTGCGGGGACGCTCACTATGTTTGGGGCCGAAAGACGTTTCCGGGTCTTTCTTGAAATTGAGCAATCTACTTGCTGGTGCGACAGGTAGGGAATGGCTTAGCGAGTCCGATTGTTGGGAATGAATCAGCAAGGCTATGTGATTTTCATGGGCCCGGGTGGCGTGCAATAAGGCGTGGCTTTCTCCTTTTTGGTGCCGTTCCTTGAAAATCAGGCAGACCTTTCATGCCGGAACGTCAACCCGCACGTTCTTTTTCTGCCCATACCTCCAGTTGTCATTTGCAGATGTTTAGAGTTTAGAAGGATGTACGACATATCCCAGTTAAAGCTTAACTTTTGTCCAGGGGTCAACGTACTGTGGACACCGTTCAGAAATCCTGGAGTGATTCGATTCGTAAATACCAACAAACGGTATGGTTTCAACCCATGGTTTCAAAAGTGGTGCGAAATGGATTTCGTCCATCCACAGTACCACTGAGATCTCATTTCCGCCTTTTCTTGTTTCCAGGACACGTGGAGACGAGGCGAGCCAGAAGAGCGAGAGTCGGGGAATGGAGAGCATGGACATGGACGCGGAAGAGCAAACCACGAGATGTTTTTGCTGGGATTTCTTTTGTGCTGTTAAGAAATAGATCCCACTGGTTTAGAATCGGTTGCAAAAAGCTTCATGTACCAGCAATCCATCGATTTTTTCAACAGGTCACCTATGCTTGGAAGCCTGATCACGTTTGGGGGCACCCTCGATGAATAGGACGGAAGTATTCATCCGGGGTTCGCAGTATGTGTCAGAATAGGGGACCCCACAAGTGAGGGTTTTCGTTTCTGCGTTCTGAAGACCAAGCTGAAAATTGCCCTTCAGAAGCAAGCCCATTTGGGCCATTCCCCAAACAGAAGCAAACGAAGCGACATCTTAGTAATTCACAACTGGCCAGACAACCCGCCAGCGACTGTACACTCGCATTTGCTGCGAGGGCCAAGAAGCTTCGATGACTCGGACTGGCTCAGTCGAGGAACAGTGTTCATGTCTGGTAATCAGCCAACCCCTTGTTAATGAGTACTTTGTGCGAACCAGTTTTTTTTTGAGCCTCAGATGGAAATATCCTGCGGCAGGTGTTTCCTCCCCCGATTTCCAGAGGGCCCAGGATTTTATCCGTACATGACATGGAACCCGATGAGGGAGCCTTCGGTAAACAAGGTCTTGGCAGGGTCCTTTAGTTTTTCCCCAACAGCTGAAAGCTTTGGGGTCTCAGCCCAGATAGGCTCCGGGGTGGTCCGGGGCGGCCCTCAGGTAAGGTTCCACGAGGGTTCCACGAGGGTTCCACCAGGGTTCCCTGAGGGTTCCACAGGACTAAAAAGAGCACCGCATGCTGTTGGGGATATCACCAGAGCGTATTTTTTGGCAAGCGGGAGGGTTCGATCTTGGCAACCAAGTGAGAGCTTTGGTGCATTTTGCTTGGATGTGAGGACTTAACCTTTCCAACTGATGGGTTGTCCATTCAACCACTAAAAGTTATTCACTTTTAGCAGGGGAGCAGATTTCGCAACCGAGAAAGGTCTTGTGAGCAGGTTCTGCTCAAGAAATCAGATGCACGCAGATGCAACCCTGCGGTACAGGCAGCTGCAGCAGAACGACGCCTGCCGGGCGCCTAGTGATGGCGACTGCATGCCAGTTTG